GTAAATTTCTAAATATAAAAATTGTACCATTTTAAAAGTGTCCCTCAAGATATTCCATCCTGTTTTGATCTGCTCTGCTTTATTTCTGCCTGTTGCTCTGATTTCTCCCGCGCACACAGAGCCGGGGTTGTGCCTGCAGCTGGCTTTAAAGCAGTTGCCACCAGGGGTTCGAGTGGAGACATGTAGTTCTGCTGTGCTGCAGTTTAGTGTGGAAGAAATTGGCCAGCTGGTCCCACTGCTGCCAAACCCCTGCACACCCATCAGCAATACACGTTGGCAGACAGAAGACCTAGATGGAAACAAGATTCTCTTCCAGGTAAGTGCAACTCAATACTGACCTCATTGTAACCCTACACCAAAAAGTGAAAAGGTTTTGATAAAAAATGTTGTCAAATGGAACAAAATGTACAAAATGACAAAATTCCTATAATTGTGGACATAATTGTTCAGTTCCTGTCTTTTAATTTACATGCAGCTTAATGAGTGATATCTGTTATGTGTATTTTATTTTGCCTCACTCTTTAACGTTTAACGTGAGATAACTGTGAATGAAAGAAAAGATTCTCCTTGATTTGTGCCACACTAGATGATGAGGTTTGTCAGTGGTTGCAACAGTCAGAAAAAGTCCTACATTATCTTTAAAACACACAGCACTGTGCTGGAAGATTTACTCTATAATTAGATCACAGAATACAGAGTGTAAAAGGCAGGATCTTTGTTCATTGTGCAGTTAGAGCGTGATTTGTACAACAGGAAATTTTGTACAAAGTATGCAGCTGCTGTGTTCCCCAGTCAAATAACAGGTTTGCTTTTGAGGCAAAGCAGCAGTTGTTTACGAGATGAAGGAATGATAATGTGTTGCCTTTCAGTTTTATGTTAAATTTGACAAACTGATGGTTATTTAACGAAGAATAAATCAAGGAGAAGCTTTTTTTTGATTCACAATTGTTGCATGATTTACAGTCCTAAACATTTAAAAACACATACTTCAGTTATTGTGATGGTGATAAAATCATAGCATCTCATAAGATAAAAAAGCATCAGTTAAACAATAGAAACGGAAAAAAACGCTTATGTCATTCTTCCTGTGATAATGAAATCAAAGAGGCATGTGATTACTGTCTTTCAGAGAATAGACTCAAAGCCATATGTTAGATGCGTGTATGTTAATTCTGTCAAAGATACTTAGCATGCTTAAATCTCTCTAGTCCGGGCGGAAATCATAATCCCTCGCCTCCTGTGCTGCAGGTGAAAACCCCAGCTCAACCTCAGCGACCTCTGACCTGTGCTTTCCCCCTGACCTGCCCCAGCGTGTCCCCTCGAGGACTGCAGCTCAGGAGCTCAGGACAGGGCCACAGCCTGTCGCCCTGCAGCCTCACCACTCCCTTGCCCTGGCAAACACACAGACAAAGTAGGTACAGAAGGAAGAACTGTGATTGCGCAGTTAAGATGCTCTACTCATGTATCTTCAGGGTGGTAAATCTGCTGCGGGTATTAGTTGGTACTTTCCAGTCACAGATTCATTGTCAGGAGCCTGAGGCATCATCCATCTGAAGAGGACACTATCACTGGTAGTGAGACAGGTCTCTAAATTGCTATCACGCTGAGCTGTCTGCCAAAGGCCACCGAGTTGAATATGATGATTTGACTCAACTCATGAGTGTATTCTTTCTAAATTTTCCCACAGCTCACAGACAGCCAGTGTATTAAGTGATCATTTGTATGTGGGAGGATATTGTACGTAAGACTGGATCATAACAGGCCAAAATGAATCAGAGACATGGAGAGTTTGCCAGCTAAGTGTGAAGTGTTAATATTTGAAATGAGTAACGATAGGAAACTTCAGGCAAAGTAGTTAAACTAGCCATTTAGCTACATTGACATGCAGTTTGTTTGAAGTGGGTCAGTGTCTTCTGCAGAAAGGTTTAATTAACTTCATCCTACTGAAATCCGATCTCATCACTCCAGCAGTTAGAGAGCTGTCAAGTCATCTTGTAAATGTGGAAACAGCATTTTTCAATTTACGTTTAAGGAGGTCCAAGATGATATATTTTTAAACATTTCAATTATTTTTTATTAAAAATATATCAAATACCATTTCACTTCAAGGTTGAGAAACTTTTCTCTACAGTCACCTTGAGTTGACACTACTCAAATTACGTTCAAGTCCTTTACATTTTAACTGGACACTTTTATGAGACTGCTTGATACATCATTGGTTGTTTCTAGGTCACAGACCACGCAGTGACCCCTTCCTGGAGAAGCTTCATGGAGGAGGAGGTGGAGCAGAGAGCCTTGGATCAGGAAGCTGCTGTAGCACCCCTCCAGGCAGCTCCTGTTACTCATCCCAGCGCAGCAGCCCTGCCCCACCCTCAACCTCCAATCACCCTGACTCTCCTCTGCGCCCCTCTATCACCCGTTCTTGCTCCCATCTCCTCCTGGAAGAGGACGAGGAGGAGCCGGAGACCAATGTGGACACAGGAGTCCCTGTCTCACTGCACTCTGACACAGCAGCCAAAACGATTACTCGCTCTTCGTCCATAGACCTTTTGATGACTTTCCACTCTGAGAGACCTGCAGCCGTTGGGGCTTCAGCCGTCGAGAGTCTAGCCAAGGAGTTGAGTGAGTGTTTGCCACGGACACACACACACCCTCGGGGCCCCTCCAGGACGTGGGGCTCTGCTGGTTATACAGATGGAGCCAAGGAAGGCTGTGGCAGCAGGACTGTGGCAGTAGGACAGAGCCCCTCCAAAGGGCCTGTGGTAGAGAATAGGACTACTGCTGAGCTGCTATCAGCACGCACAAACGAGGAGGGAGTGGATGAGTTCTTCATCTAAACTCCTGCTGCTGTGCCACATGCTGTGGTAATAATCACAGTGCAATTAAAAACATATCACATGGAGAAGATGAGAAACCCTTTAACGAGGATCTGAAGTCAAACAGGAGGATGTGTAGTTTGACAAAAGAGCAGTGCTCTGGAACATAGAGGAAACCAAAGTTCAGCTGCAGGAGACACTTTCCACTCAAAAGTGTCTTGGTGTATAAATTCTTAAAATGGTTTGACTAGTCCAATAAATTTCCACAATGTACAGTAGCCGAATAACTGTCCACATCCTACCCTAACAGATGTGTTAAAAGAGCAGCACAAGGTGAGTGTTGTGCAAGACAGTGCAGGTAATAACGTTGTTGAATGTCCAAATTACCTTTATAATGTTGAGATCAAACTAATGATTTGTACAGATATTTTGCTAATTTGTAGCCCTGTGAATAGCAAACGTGAAGGTAAGGTTTTGTATGTGGTACTAATGCCAGTCTAGGTTTCTGTCACATTACTCAGCTAGAAAAACTAATGTCTTATTTTCAGATTGCTTTTGAAACAGATGAAGATGATCTCAACGTGAAGCACTTTGATGTTGCTGTTGATCGTGATTAGAGATCTGATTACTCTTCACAGTGCAGCATGGTCAGTCTGTGTTACAGATCTGAAACCAGGCTTTACATAGTAAAAGTATAGCCTAGTGGCTTTTTATTACATTTGTTTTAATGCACTTCAAATTATCCTTGTTCTAGAATTTGTGTCTTGAAATGTAGAAGTGGTGGATTAGACTTGGCCAAATTACTGTATTGAAGACAATTGAATTTTCTCATATTTTTTTTTTCCTGTGACAGCCTAGTGTTAACAGGATTTTCTAAATAACTAATCAAAGAAAACATTTGGATATATTTACTATTTTAATGTAAGGTGTCTCAAATGTATCCTCAGCCTGAGACCTCAGAAATGTTAATTACTAAGGCCACAGTAAAATGAGAGATCCGCAAGTCCATCATGTATTGGACTGATCAGGTACAACTAATTGTAGTCAAACCCACATTTTGCACAGTGGACATGATCATTGTATTGATTATAGCTGTCTAGAGACTGATAAGTCTGATAAAAGATAATGTATTAGTTGAGGAAAAAAATCTATTAATTTCTCACGACTCAGGTCATACTAGTCTCCTCTACAATTATATGACACCTTTTCCTGTTGACTTAAACTTTAAATTGTGGCCCAAGGGCCATTTAAATCTCACCTACTACAGGTGAAACTCAATCTAGTAATCATTTGTGTTACATGTGGATTGTGGCCAGTGCTGGATCAAATGCATATGATTCAAGGTTATACAATATGAGCTGGTCAACAGGACACTGTGGATGTTCAGGGCAGCTCAAAGATGTATACTGTTAATGGGTGTTACTGGAAAAAAAAGGCTTAGTCAGGAAGTATCAACTATGAGGCTCTTTAGTGTCTAAACTGTTCAGTGATGTAGAGAAATGTCTTAAGGCTTAGTATTAAAAGACAGTTGAATAAAACATCTTTCTGTTGTTGTCAAATTATCAGTTAAGTGTGTGTTCTGACAGTGATGAACCAGATGAAGTGTGATGTAAAAATCAAACACCAAAAGATAATGTTCTGGTAGGATGAAAAGCTCAGAAGTGAATGCTGGATGTTTCCAAAAATGCATAATCACACTGTTGTCACACTGCTACTGTTTGGCCCTCAAGACCAAACCAGACAGAATTTCATCGTTGGTTGAATGTGGAAACATTCATGGTTATAGCGGAATCATTTTTTCTCTACAACAGTTTCTTAATATGCATCACACTGTTGTTGACACAGCTGTCAGCTTTGTGATAACATCCACCATCCATCTACCATCATACTTGACAACTCACCAACCTGTACTGCTCTTCTACAATTCATCTACACACTTAATGATGTACTCGTCATATTGTCCAAACAGCTGGATCTCAGTGGGCATCAGTGTTAAACATTTAGGGCTTCTACATTAGCAAGCCATTAGGAGGGAAGCACAATCACAGCCCAACATAAGTAATAGTTATTTATATAATATCTTACATATGTTAGTGGACAAGATGATAAAAACACAAATCTTGTTTTTTCTCTGTCAGTGTGCAAATACTACAAGAGAAATGGTAATAGTAATATTGTCCCCACTTAACCACATTCTTGGTCCGGTCCATTTAGAGTGCACAGTCCTATTATTGTGTAAACATTATTAAAAAGGCTATAATTGCACATCCATATACAGTAAGATTAATTGCTCTGCAGTATAAATACTGCATATGCTTCAAAATGTATAAACCAAGTGGGCTTGTGTCTGTAAGTCCATACATGGAAGGAGTTTTTGAGCCAGGAGACTTTTGCAGCATATAAACTCAATGTGGGTTGTAGCACCTCTGTATTACAGTTTACATCAACAAATTGCACTTTACCTCAAGCTTACAGCTCCATCTGCTGGTCAAAGAATGTTGTTGCTCTGTAGAGTGTTTCTACAACCGGTCCAGCTCAGATCCTTAGCCCACTGACCCTCTCTGGTGACTCGCACCTTGACTGGGTCAAAAGTCCAGAAGCGCTGTTCTCTGAACAAGTACAGGCGTCCGCCTGGACGGGTCAGCACCCCATTGGTCCCCTGTGGCACCCCAGTCCAGTCTGTCAGCCTGCGGGGGTAGTAGGGCTCTTGGCGCAGTGTTTTGAGATTAAGCACAGAGTAGCGGGAGCCCTTGAAGAGGACCATGTGACCCAGAGGGGTGTAAAAGAAGGCACAGTCAGGGTGGCGAGGCAGCCCCAAATCACTGCTCTTCCTGGGGAAGCCGGGGTCCAGCACACTGTCATTGTAGCGCCACATCCGCTTCCCTGCAGAGCAGGAGAGGAGGAGGATTTACAAAAAGCCAAAACTGAAAGTGGTCACAGAGTCAACAATTAAACACCAAAGATCTCCACAAATTCATGCTGTACTTTACATAACACTCACAGCACAAATTCACTCTGCCACTTGCTGTTTAAGATACTAGGATATCTATGAAGATATAGAGATATAATAAGATCTGCTCTTTTAAAATTAAGATTTGACAGTTAGTAATTTTATCATGCTCCTTTATCCAAAGAACCTTGGAATGAAATATTTTGAGGTTCAGTGTCTCGAGGAAATGCAGCCTGCTACTTACGACAAAGTGTCAGCAGTGTCTCTTTCAGTTTTCAGACAACAAAGGACAGAACTATGGTAGCGATGATTTATGGAGTCTTAGCAGAGCGTCTGCATTTTACACAAAACTCTTTTGCATTTCACAGATAAGTGAATTGAGATAACGTCAGGTTTTTGGCATCAAAGTTAAACTTGGCAATAACTTCAAACACATTATTAGCCTCTAGCACAAAGGTGAAACTACTACAGCTGAGGCTTAAGTGCAGTATAGTGTCTTTAAATAGCTCTTTCCTAGCTTTCCTATTTAAAAAGGCACAGTAGAATCTATTTTGGGGCTTTAACAGATGTATGAAGTTGGCCATTAGGTTAGAGAATGTCTTTAAAAGGAAGTGTGAGTCACTTTAATGAGCTCAGTGAAGCAGCACCTTTAAAAAAATACCACTTGGAGTCCAGCGGGGAGAAGGTAGCAGCCTCGATGGCCGGAGGGAGGTCAGACCAGCGCTGACGGAGAGGCAGCGGGCCGCTCACTCTGCCTTCAGCTGATACTGTCCAGTACATACTGCCCCGAAACACCAGCACGGTGTCATTCTGGTCTGGATACACACACACAAAAAGTACAAGAGTAAATACATGTACCGCATCAAAGAAAGTTCATTCTTGATCTTGGCAATAGCAATGTCTCAAACTAATCTTAACCTGGTAGCTTTTTACAGAGGTCTCAACTGCATCTCATATTCCTCAGCGTTCTCTCTTTATCATTTTGTTTCAATTCAAGTAATTTTACAGTTCAGCTGACAAAATATATTAAATGTGTTTGTCCACCAGTTTTACAAAGATGAATATGATAACAGGATTCCCTCGTGTCTCTGCAGGATTTAGGTTTGTCAGTCAGATGTGGCTGGCTGTTTCTTTTCAAACAATATTTCAATTGGACCTCACCCATAGTGATGGCATCAAAGATGCCCTGGCAGTAGAGAGGCTGTCCTGTGGTCTTCAGCTCTGTGGTCTCCCACTCCTGCAGCGTGGCGTGCAAAACCTGACCTGGCAACCTCACAGGGCGGTCACCTGACGGCTTACCTGAGGGCAAAAACAAAGCAACAAAACAATGAACTAAAAGGCATCAGACAAAGCTGTGAAAGATGAATCTATTTACTGCCATTGTCACTGTTATTATTACTCATAATAATTAATTTGTTCAGAGACTGCTATTTGAAACCAACAATAACCAAACAAAACTCTGAGGACAGTGTGTTAGAGACCAGTCTAATTTCTCATGCATGCCAAAAACAATTTAAGTATTTTCTAAATTGGACAGCAGCAGGAACAAATTGAAAGACAAACAGTGGAGACTTCTCGCAAAGCAGGATTCAGATAATGTTTACATTTAAATCGTCTGTCACAGGATGTGGCTGGGTTGATGTATACTGATGGATGGACGACATACTGCACAGGAAATAAACAAAGGATTCAGAGAGAGCACAGACTGGAACCTTAAACTTATTGAATTTTTTGCACCAAAACAACAACAAGCCACTGATTCTTTTTTTTTGGCCTGTGAAACCTCAAAGTGCAGACTCCAGGCACATGAGATCAAAAGAATAAAGAACAGCCACAGCAGAACAAAAAGAAGAGCGCGACATACCAAAGCATAAGAGTAAATGATTGTGCTTTAGACATGATTACAGCCACTTTGTTTGCAAGGAGCTGAACAAACATTTGTGTAGGAGGTGGATAAAATCAGCACACCCAAGAACAGGAGGAAGACTGCAGGAAAAATAGATATACAGACCACAGTGGATAACACATGGGCAGCTGCACATACTGTGTGTGTGTGTGTGTGTGTGTGTGTGTGAGAGTATACAAGCAGGTGTGGTAAGATAAGAGCTGCACGCCTAAAACCTCTCTCCTTATTCCCTGTTTAAATTCATCAGTGAAGGAAAAGGTATTCAGATCTTGCAGTTAAGTGAAAGTATGTGAGTATTACTACCAAAATGTACTTACAGTATTCAGAGTACTAATTTCTCCAGTTATTCTTTGGGAAATTCTTGTGTTTGCAGAATTTAAATCTTAAATCTTGCAGCTGATCCAGGTGCAGTAAATGTTAAAAAATGTACACATGGTTTGGAGATGATCCTATGTTTTGTATGTACAAAACCTGAACCTGCAAAGTAACTAGTAACTAGCTGTGGAATAAAGTACTTCACAAGTACCTCAAAATATTATTCAAGGGTAGTACTTGAATAATAGTTTCTTTCTGCTGCTGTCTTTGATATACAGTCACACACAGTGGGATCTATATGTACTTGTTGTGCTGGAACTACAAGACAAAGGAAATTAAGTCAGTGATGAGCATTAAGGTTTGAAGCAGCTGTAATGGACAATGTGTGCAATATAATATTTTGTGTGAAAAATAAGCTATTTCCTCTTCTGAATCTATCATTAGAGTTTAGTTAAATATTATTCCTGTTCTTCATCTTTACTGTGAATGTTCAGCGTAAAGTAACTAAGTACATTTACTCAAGTACTGTACTTTAAAATACACTGGTGCAGATCAAACTGTGTAACAGTTTATACAGTTGTTCAAATTAGCTCCAACTAAACCAACTACAAAAGTAAAATGCTACTTAGGCATGAAAGTATTAATAATTATAATAATCCAATAATATGAGATTTAACACTATACCATAACACTCACAGGGGTCATTTTCTGCACCGAGTACTTTTACCATCGATACTCTAAATACATTTTGCTAATAATACATATCTACTTTCACCTGAGTAACATTTTGAAGTACTTGAACTGGGGTGTTTTTACAGTGTGGTGTTGTTACTTTTACTTAAGGATCTGAATACTTCCCTCCACCACACTATATACTCTGTACATACATTGTCTCATAAGACAGAAACACCTAATGCGTCTTCTTGAATGTATGATGCTTTATGTATTTTCATGTGTCTTGTCACAGAGCAAATCAGATCCAGATCACCTCTGGAGACTGACATATTCAGGCTGCCTCACATCTGCTTCCCATCACATCACAATGCCAACACCAGGCATGGTTGTCTCACCCCCCCCACACACACACACCCACACACACGCACACACACACACACACACACACACACACACACACACACACACACACAAGCAATTTCATAGCGCCTGCAGTCCTGTCAGTTGCAGTTCTTGTCCATATCTGCCTGTGGAGCTGTTTGATGTTTACGTGGGAGCAGCTGCAGTCCACAGAAACTACTGCAACAGGGTTGATATCAGCGTGTAAAGAAAAGCATGTTGCACATTGCTAAACTCGACCTGAGCGCCAGCTAAAGAATCCTGGAAGAACTTTTTGTTAAGCAATAAAAAGAAGAGGGAGCTGTCTTGGATTCTTTCTTTGAAGACTGATAAGCAAATGTTCCAAGGTTCAGCTTGCAGTGTAAAAACAAACCACAAGCAGCTCTATGACTAAGTAAACACGAATCTATTTAACTGCTGCCTGGTAGTGTCAGTTTCTTTAATTGCAGTATCTATGGTCACATTATAAATCAAAGCGACGTGGCTTGGCTGAGACAGCAGAGTGGTCAGTTGCTGTTTAGTTTTTTTTTTTTTTTAAATCCAGAGTGATAAAGGAGGCTCTGGGGAAAAAGGGCTGGCAAATACCATTTTAGGAAGCTGAGGCCAGGATACCTCCAGGAGGCAGAGCAGATGGGACTCCTCAGATATTAAACAGAAGAGGCCAGCATCTGGACGTGGCCCGTCTGCACGCTTCTGTTTGAGCTGAATCTCAGGTTTCGACCTGAATTATCCAAATGATTGTGAGACTGTCCTGCAGCCATGCAAACATTCCTTGAGAAGGCGCTGGCCCTTTGCAGCTGCTTTACACCTGCGTTTCAGGGTCAAAGCGGGGAAAAGCCCTTCATGCATTGTGGTCGCATCTTGTAGATTCAAAGCACCGCACCATCATCAGAGGATGTCAGGTGGTTAACAAGCTACTTTTGGTGCAAACAAGTTAAGACGACATGTTCTCGTGCAAATGCGGCTGAAATCAGTTTCTTAGCAGCAAGAAAAGAAAAAAAAACACAAGCCATATGAGAACTCTCCAAAGAGGCACATGTGGAAACCTGCCTAACACATGCCAGGAAGGATGACACACTCACAGTAAACAGAAACTTTACATTTGTCATACACAGAACATGTATGTATTGCTCCCACTCTCTGCACCAGCACCAGTAATCTATCACAGCAGAGCAGACAAAACTCCCAGGCAAACAGTGTGTGTAGTACAGCTGATAATAAAATAGAAAATAAGCCACTGAGTGAGTGTATGTGTGTGTGTGTGTGTGTGTGTGTGTGTGTGTGTGTGTGTGTGTGTGTGTGTGTGTGTGTGTGTGTGTGTGTGTGTGTGTGTGTGTGTGTGAGAGAGAGAGAGAGAGAGAGTGAGTGTTGTTTTGACGTTCACACCACCTCTGCCGCCCTCATGTCCAAACCTACGTCTCCCAGCAGCTACAGAACTGGAACTGATAGAACAGACTCTTCCTGCTGTTAAAGACTAAAAACACAAAGGCAGGATGTTGTTTGAGCTCTTTGTGATGAAGATTTGATTGTTTGTGTTGCAAAATGTTGTCTGTTCTTTGTCTTGCTGTTCTAAATGACGTCTTTCAGTTAATCTCTTTCGTATCACATTCGTAGGTGTTTAGCATCATTTCACTAGAATGTGTTGCTCACTTAAATGTACAAATGCATACAGCCAGGAAGATACTGATGGGCTTTCGGGATCAATTTTTATTTCTAGTTTTTGTAAAATCCAGGTTTGAATGACCTTCTGGAGCTCTCAACAGGCTTGGCTATTCTGCTTCTTCTCATTCTGTGTTTGCAGCTGGTGGCCTTCAGGGCTGCCTCTCAGGCCGTTTCACAGCTCAGTGCCATGACTCTCGATTTAATGGGCCACAGAGCAAAAATGACTCTACTTCTGTGTTTCTTCAAAGACAGTCTGGTTTCATAACAAGTCAGTAATTCATGTAATTGGTTCTATGTATTCCAATAATAGTTCAGTCTAAACCACAGCCTCATTTCACCATCTTTAACTAAGCAGCCCTGAGGCCAGACAGTGAGACATTTGTCATCTGTCCACTAAAAAGTTTTTTTTTTTTCCAACCCCTCAAACTTTAAAGGACAAAACATCTTTGTGTGTTCAGTGAAGGTGCCATGTTTAACACTTCCCCTGACCTTGGGACCACACACTTTCCATTTAAGAAAGAAAACAGTTCACTTGAGTAGCTGTTGAGCTTCATTTTGAAAAGAATTTAAAGCAACACATTTTGTACACTGTACAAGTGCAGACATCATGAGTTTGTAACATGAAACCCACAAACAAGATCCACGGGGTTGAATAAATCACCACAAAAAGTACCATCCTCTCACCGTACAGCTGCTGCACTGCGATGATGTCGTCCCAGCTCAGCACCAGGCTGCGGCCGAGCTTCCTGTAGTACGGCGACATCAGAGCGTTACGGACCGGGGAGTGCTCCAGTCCCAGAGTGTGTCCAATCTCGTGGGCGGTCACCATGAACAGGTTGTGTCCTTTGTGTCCGTTGAGTGTCCACCTCTCCGCCATGTCGAAGTGAGCTTCGCCCCGGCGAGGCAGGAAGGCGTGAGCCAGAGTTCCCCCTGAGGGTGAGAGCAGAGGAAGTAAGAGGCAACATGTTACATAATATCAGAGTAACTTTTATATTTCAACAGTCACATCTGATGATGACAAATCAAAGTCAAATGATGTCTCGATTCAGACTCCTGTGTTGTACAGTTACACCCTGTTTTATTGGTTTTCATTGTTTAGTAACTGGGTAACACTTTATTGTACAGGCCTGTAATTTCTGACTAATGTCTAGAAGGGGCTTTAAAATTAACTATGTAATTTGGTATTAATTAGAGGGAAAGTAGAAACAGTATTTAACTGATACACTTCCCTTCCATTAATTCCAAATCAGCATGACTGATATATACAGTACATCTTTTACACATTCACATACATCATTCACAGTAATCAGGGATTAAGATCTCTTATGTAAGAGAAACCTGAGAACAAATAGCATACACAAGATCACAATACACACAACAACCATGCACGCCCACGAGCACCCGCGCGCGCACACGCACACACACACACACACACACACACACACACTCTCTCTCTCTCTCTCTCTCTCTAACAAACCCATCCTGCGATCAGATATCTGATGTGCATGTTATCTCATTAAGTTGGGAAGCCAGGGCTCAGATATGATTGGATGGATAGATCTGTGATGATGTGATGATGAGAGTCCGTGTGTGTTTGACCCTGACCTGGTCCATCAAATGCATTGCTGGCCCCGTCGTTGTGGTCTCCCTCGTAAAAGGCCAGCCGGATGTCTGCGGGTCCTTCAGGGGCCTCCTGAAAGACCAGGCCCGACACATTGCTCCACAGCTGGAAAGCTGCACGCACTGCCAGCCGCACAGAACCCAGAGACAGATGGCGAGGCCAGTTTACTATCTGGTAGGTCAGGTGACGTTTGTACCACTTCTCAGCTGGAGATCACCCACAGAGAGAGAAGGGAAAGAGGAACAGAGATATGAGACATGCAGGTATGTATTCATCACAAACTTACAGCCAGTGCAACTGCAGATAAGCTCAATTCACCAGATAACCAAAACAAAAACCCTGGCAGTGTTCCTGTGAGCAAGAATAGTTCAACTTCTCCTCTGCAAAACATAGTCTATAATATCAAAAAATAACACAAATTGTTATTTCACATTGTTATTAAATATTTCCATGGTATGTGGCATTTCTTCTGTGTCAGAGATATGGACATTGGACAAAAATTATAAATGGGTATCAATTAACAAATTCATGAAAGAAGAATGGAAGAGAAACTGAAACATTCATGACCACCACTTCTACATTTTCCTCTCATTGATATTTTCATTTTGAACTGGACAATGTAGTTTTACATTTAAGGGAATTATTATATTTTTCCGTGTAGTGCTGCTCCACCATATCAAGAGCAGTTAATGTTGGTCAGCACTGGATAACTTCGAAAAGCAGAACTGTAGGCAGGAGTCTACGCAATAAAAATGAGGCGTTTATTTACAAACATTTTAACAAAACACAGGCAAAACACAAACCACTGACTGGCCTTTTACCTTCCAGCCTCATCTAACGGGAACCTACCATCTGCTCACGTCACCCGGGGGTGGGCTAAACTCATACAAAGCTCCCAAACAACACAGAATAATGAACTAAACATGAATCATTTGTTATTCCTGGCAGTAAAAAAGTATATCTGTGGTAACACAAGTAAATCAACTTTAATATAATGTCATTTACTTGAGAACAGTTTTACCTTCCTCCTGCATCTCAGTGCTGCTCAGTCACTCACTGATCTAACGAGCTGATGAAGCTCACCTGGTTTCACTGTCACTGATCACTGAGCAGACGCACACGAATAAAACTCAGGGCTGCAAATCTTCCAAAAGACAAAATGCTCACTCATCCAAACGTTGAGCTGAAGGTAATATGAGCCATGGCAGAGGTGCAGAAGCACAAAGAGGGAATTTTTTTTAGCAATTTTTTATTCTGTTGATTGAATAACCTTAATCAATCAAGTTAAACACTGGCCTGAAATAAATGACTTAAAACCAGCCCATCAAAAACAGGTAAGCAAGCAGGATTTTAACATTCCAGTTACTGGGAACACATCTGTCACACACTACCCAGTTTTGGGGGCTTTTTTTGTTTTAATGCCACAGTTAACTGAATATCTTTGGTCAAAAGAAACTATTTTAAGTTGTAGCCTAGACTCTGGAAAGTAGTGCATTTTTTTGCCACCCTACAAATAAACTAATAAATAATAATCTGGAAACTAATTGACCAAAAATCTGAATTTATTTTCATTCAACTAATCTGGCTGTTTTCTTTCTTTATGGTGTTATGCCTTTTTGAATGGATGCTTGGTATTTATATTGGCTTTGTCACTATAACTTTTACAGTGTTATCCTCATTTGTACAACACTGGTCACGCTATGTGCAAAACAGTTCTCCAAACAGTTGTAACTGTTATACCCACTGGAGTAGCTAAATGCGTTTAAATCTTGTGTTATAAATTCAGATGCCTGACATCCCATGTTCACCCGTGATGTTTTGATGTAGGGCCTCATCACATCCAACAGGCTGAGCCAAAATGATAGGATGTTAACCATGTTAGCACACAGCTGGGTAAACTAACAAGCACTCTGAGTACATGCTTGTCTAAACAGTTTACTTCAACACGCGTGTGTGGTTTCTCAGCTTAGGCATAATTACATGTGTCTCAAACTTCAGAATCTCACATTTGTTCAGGGATAAGGTGGGGGGGGTAGATTCAGCCATTCAACCTCTTCATATATACAAAGGTTTACGCAATGTAGCAATCTGTAAACAAAGCAAACACACACAAGCTGTAAACCATGCAGCACACCTCCACAACAGGCAGACAGAGAGGCTGCCTCGCAGGAAACAATCATTAGATAATGTGGACCTTTAAGGAGAGGCAGCTGGACGTTCGCTCAAGTCCAGTGGGTGAGTGGGTGAGTGGACAGAGCTGGTGAAAGAGCTGATGAAAACATATTCAGACTGTGTTTAGAGTAAACCTGTCTATTGTGAATCGTCCCTGCAAAACATCCAACATTTCTTAATTCAAGACTGCTCTGTCCAATGTGCTGGAAAATGTCACAATAGCAGACTTTTCCCATACTGGCAAGAGAGTGCTAAAGAGATGATGAAAATATTTAGAGTAGATGTTGAGGGGCAAGATCCTGAATATACTTCTAGTGCTTTACCTTAATACCACAATATAAACAATATGCAAAACACTGGAAGAATGGGATATATATAGTGTGTGTGCTTATATGTAAAACATTATATAAAACCATTTCTTGTAGTATTGTGCTGCCAATGTCGGCCAACTCACAAAAAATATCAAATAACGTGAGACAGGAAAGTCATGAAAGAAAAAAAAACGACTGGTCAGTTTAAGAAGGTGAGATACAGAATACAATAAAAATTCAATGGAAGTAGTATTCATGCAGTCACACTCGTCATGACTTGCCACAAGGACTTTATGGATTCACACATAGTTTCACTTTTGAGGCGTAACTAGAAAGCGCCGACATAAATCACACACACTTACAGTTGTCAAAATATTTAAAAATGCAGTCGATGTATGTGTGTCCCGACGTGGAGGCCAAATGTGAGTGGGAGGTCTGCACACATGCCTGCGTTACACACCCCTGCTCAGTCCCACAGCCCCTGTACGGACTGCGCTTGTGGACGCGTTTGTGTTTCAAATTTGAGCAATTTTGATGCCGGTTTAAAAAAAATACGAAGCAAAGAGCCGTGTGAAAGATGAGAGCGATAAACAAGAGGTACGCACTACATACTGCGAATTACCAAGAGACCTCAATACACCCTGGAGACAGGAAAATATCTGAGTATCTGGAGCCATTAAGACATGGGTTTGGGAGTGACATGAGTGTGTTTCTTTGTGAGTAAACACACAAACAGAATTTGTGCTTCAGCAGCAGTTATATAACTTGATCCATAGCATTTTTGTTGCAAAGTTTGCAGGACTATTAGAAGGAGTGGAAGTACCTGGGGCCTCAAACACCTTAACTGTATTTGAGGGAATAACAGTCGTCCTATTGATTTACATTCACTCAAGAAAGGTACACAAAAGTAACAATTCAACATCATCGTCATTACAACCTGAATTTTCCAGTAAAAGTCTGAGTTTTACACATGATTTACCACTTGAGCAGGTTTCTCAGTATGTCAAAACACTGAAGTCAGTGCGGCACTTGAACACGGCCCTGCGCTTTTTCCAACCCAGCTCCATTTTTCATTCCCAGATGAACTATACTATAATACTTAAGCCTGTTGCCACATGATGTGTGTAAATCTGAATTCTCAGCAGAGCTAAGGCGCCTTCTCTCCATCCCAGACCGCCGCAGAGTAAGAGGTCCCAGAGGACGGTCGGGGAAGCCAGGAAGTCCGATACACAAGACATTCCACGACTTCCCTTATGGAAGCAATTAACATGATGCCCTCTATAGCAGCAGTGTAGGGAGGGTGGGTTATCACAGACATTAGGAAGTGACTGAGATCATCTGATAGCTTAAGTTATTGTTTGTGGAGGTGCAGGGAGATTTTGTTTGTTGCTGGTGTCGAGGAGGCTGTTTGACACACACACACACACACACACACACACACACACACACACACACACACACACACACACAAAGATGGCTCTGTCTGCAAAGTCTACTTTGACTGATGTCTTTGTGTGACAGATTTAAAGTTTCATTCTCAAAGAGGAAAGTAAGGACAGAAATACCGGCAGATAGGTGATGTGTCACTGATACAGCAGATATGTCATTACTGACTAATTTGTTTTTTTTTCTTGATTCATTGATTAATTAGTTGGCCTAAATTATGTAAAGAAAATCAGGAACAAGGTTACCAGTCTGCTAGCAGAGCTGTGACGGTGCATTGTACTGTACTGTACTTCAACCTGATGATGAGATGAAACACTACAGGATCACCAAAGTTACAATTCATCGTGAGGGAATCCTAAAGGGCTGAACTGAATTTCATGGCAATCCATCCAATATTTGTCGAGATATTTCAGTCTGGACCGAAGTGGTGGAGAGACTCACAGACCAACATTGTGATCCCTGGAGCCAAGCAGTTAGTTGTGGCTAAAAATGACCATCAGGGCTCAAGTTTAACATCATCACATGGCTCGTTTTGTCTGGCCAACAGTCTCACACTCGAAGACATTTAATCTAAAATTATATGAAACAGTGAAAGGCACCACGTTGTGACATTTTTAGAAACTGGAACTAAGGATTTTAGGCATTTTTAAGTTTCTGTTGGTCATCTAATCGACTAATTGTTCAAAGCCACTGAACTCTGTTATATGCACATGCTGCTGAAAAAGTGTAAATTATACTAAATGGTACAGCATGTTGTAAAATGGCAAGTGGTGAACAGTTTAAAGGGCAGGGTGTAGATCCGTAAGTGGACACCTCCTTAAAAAAAAAAAAAAAAAAAAAAAAAAAAAAAAAAAAAAAAAAAAATACACACACACACACCTATCGCACATATAGCACTTATCTTGGACAAGGGCGGTGGAATGTCAGCTCTGCAAATATCAGTGGCAATGACCGTCAGATTCTACCACAACTCAAGGTCTGTTTATAGTTTCCAGGAGGCTCAGAGGCAGCCATGCTAACACTAAACAAAATCACATCGCACCACAGCTGTGAGTGAATAAACAGGCAACGCGCCTGACTCATCTGCATGTTGCTGCAGCTTCATTTAGCAGCCGGTGTCAGCCGTCAAGGACAAACAGCTCAAACAGTGAAGCATTAAGTTGAAGCCGTGGATGGTTCGGCTTGGTACATGCATCCTCACCTGCTAGAGAAAAGTGGTAAACAATACAGGTGGTCGGACCGATAACCTTAAGTATCTTCAAGTACCTTCTAATGATGCATTCACATATTAACAGCTCTCTCCTACATTGTTCTGGACCAAAGTGCTGAACCGACTGACCAACACTGCCATCCAGAACATGGCTAAAAATAACTGAGGCTTTCAAATCAGTTGTTACTGCGCCCGGTGTGCTGAGTATTTAATAGTTAACCAGAAAAAATGCAGGTTTTATTGGCATTTTACTCAAGGCTGACTCTCTTCGACTAAATGTCTGATAGAAACATGAAACTTTTCCAGCGAGCATTCTTCTAGCCACAGGCAGAAACTTATCTGCTGCTTCTGGAGGACAATGCAGCGTGATGTTCAAAGTGGTGGTTACACAGCAGTACAGGACTGCTACTGACAATTACGTTATTACACTGCTCAACTACATCAGTGGATATCTGAAGCCAGCTCTGTGAGAGGTTTGACCAGAGGGTGTAAAAGTATCCGCCATTAACGCCACTCTGAAATAATACTGCTGCCTGTTACGTGAGTCATGTCTGGGACTAAAATAATGACAGAGAGCTGTTTTCTTACACCAGATCAGGCTGTAATCCTGCCAAGCAGTCAGTCACCCAGTAAGATATCCACTCATTCAGCCAGTAGAGATATCTGGCCATTGAGAGTCAGCCGGCTTGGCAAACAACGTAATCCAGTCAGTCAGTTATGGATGTGTTTACCAGAAGGAGCATGTCAGGTACTGACATGAAGAGGCAGCGGCAAACATCAGCCACCGCTGCATTCCCTGAACATTAGCCAACCTCGTCAGTGACAGGAAGGAATGTAGAGGCTTCACACACACCATGAGGCTGGAGGCACAAGCAGAGAAATGACAGCAGCAGAGAAAGACAGCAGGGACTAAAGACACAAAAACATAGGGCATAAGAGGCATTTACACGTAGTGCTATTAGTCACCTTATGAAACCACAGTAGGAAGCAAATGGATCCAGATCTACAGCAAACACTAGTCACTTTTTTTACCTGCACTGTGGTCTCACTTTTCACAGGGTTTCATTGAAATCTGTTGAGTGGTTTTTAGCCACACTATAGCAGCATGGTGGCTCTAAGGGTGACAGTGTTGGTCGGTCCAGCACTTTGGTCCACTGTGTGTAATTACAGAGCTGCTGGCATGGCTGCACACTCTTGATGAGATGACAGACAAACAAACAAACAAAGAGGGCCAAAAACCCTCTTGGAGGAGGTAATAATCCAATGGAAGTATACTTGAAAACACACACACATATTCATGCTAATCAAAGCAAGACTGGGGCCACATGGATTTATCAACCCCATCTGAAAACCCTGGCAGAAAAGTTCATTATGGTTATGAGATTTTGCCCATTCAACATCTCCCATACAAGGTCAGAAATTACACCTCACCTAATTCTCAGAGATTTTCTGTAAAGCACCCTAAACTGGAAGGGCAGGACCTTGTGCTCAATTACTTCATGTAGTCTGCAAGAAATTTGGAGTGCTCAGCTGCACTCTTAACCACCGCTAAACACTTTAAATCCTGCAGTCTTTAGCCAGTTCAAATTGCAGCAATCTCCTCACCAATGAATGTTTTTATTACTGTGCTCATTAGATTAGAAAATGAGGATAATCTCCAATAAGAGACCCCATGATTTTCTAAAGAATGTTTTAGGGAACAATCAAACTACACAATCAAAGTGACAGCACTGGTCAAAACATAAAACATCTGTAGTATTTGCAAGGACAGAATTTGAAATTAAAACTTTATAGAGGAAATTGCTCAGAGAGAAACTGGAAACTGGAGTTGCGGGATATACTGCCGTTGTTCGGGGAAACCCTGACATCTTCCAAATCATTTTACAAACACTATCCAGTGGGTTCAATGGGATCCTCAAACATACTCAAGCCACAGAAGAGCATGTAACTCCTCAACCAAAAAATGTTTCTGTGCAAACTTGAGGTTAAAATAACCCAGTAAAGATGACGTGAAAGATACAGGGACTTGTGTAATTGCAACTAAAAGCAGGAATCCTCCAGGCTGACGCGTGCAACATCAGACACCACCGTTAATTACACCCCTGACTCTATTTGGTGCTTCAGTTTAGGAAGGTGGACACTCCCAGCTAACTGTTGTCTTTTTATGACTCTCCACAACAGGACACACAAAAACTCCACTTACAAGGTAACAAATCATATCAGTTTTTCTCTTATACTCATGCACAGACTCAAAAACACATATTAACATCGTGTCTCACGAATGTACACATAACACACAGTACCTTGTGCAGCAGAGCGCTTCCTGCGGCTCTGAGGTCGCCCTGCAGCAGCCCTTTTTCCAGTAAAGATGGCGTTCACTCTCTGAGCCCAGATCTGCTGGCTGCCCTCGTCCGACACCCCACAGCGGGGCTCCGCCATCTGCCTCAGGGTGGCGCCGTCAAGTTCACCTGTGACAGGAAGCCGGGACAACCACTGGAACTCGCTGCAGAGAGAGGAAACGTTTGCATGACGCTCTTCCTGAACAGGCATTTGGCTTTTCAATCATGCCAACAGTATGTGAATGAACAGGAATTTAAAACTAACTCCACACCCAGTCTGAGAGTCTTGATTTAACAATGTGAAATCTATTTACAGTATATTGATGTTTGCAACACCTTAAAGCGACGGTATACCTGACTGATAGTGGATCTAGGATTCAGACGAGTTTAGAGAGGTTTAACACTATGCTGCTGAATAAAGATATTACTGTAATTTCTTAAATGTAATGTGGTGTCATGAAGCCATGTTGGGATGGAAGGTGGTACTGGTTTTCAAAACAAGGAGGAGGAAGAAGAAGAATAGCTCAGGAGGTTCACAATGTCAAGTATATACAACCATTTATCATTTTCATTTATGAGAATATAAGCTTAAAACATGTTGAAGGTAATCACAAGTAAAGTGGCAAGGCTTGATTATAGCTGGCATAGTGCGCATGACTGCAGCCTCTGCCTCCTGACCTTCATTTACTTTAATTATTTACCAAAGACATCTGGGTGATATAAATGTGTCACATGTGGCTAAATGGCTACATACCGGAGATGACCATTTTGACACTGTATATGACTGTCAGCCACACAGTTTACTGACCCATCACTCAGTCGAAGTTTTCAGCAAGAGCAAAGCTTTTCAATCAATTTCCATTACAGTACAGTCAGTGTACAGGCCAGAGGGCGAGGTTCTTGAAATTCCTGCATGGTTCAGAGAGGGTTCATGAGAGGTTTCCCAGTGCAGAGGTGAGGGTGTGTTTTACTGCCCTGCACTGACGTTCAGCCCCCGGAGGCTTGTCCCGCACCGAGCTCACCCTTCCCCCTAATGATCAACCAGCTAACTCTGATCGGCAAAGTGCAGAGATGTAATTACACCATATCACATTTTTATGACCTTTGACTGCCCACTGTGATTTCCACATTCACTGATGAAGAAAATGTTTTACAAGATGAAGAAGAGCCAGATCACCTACCGGATGGCTGACTGCACCTCCACCGTATTGTGGATGTGGTTGTCCTGATGGAGGTAGCCGTACTTTTCCAGAAAAACCTGCCATTGTAATCATACTTGTTAATAGTGCTCAAATGAAACACATAAATCCACCAGAAAAATCCAGCACAAAACTTGTTTGCATCATTGCTTCCAAATGCCCCTCTGTAAAAATCTGCTTAGATATTAAAGCTCGTAAAATCATGTTTTGGATAAAGATCTGTCGACTTAACAGACCAGAAATCTCACAGTAACACAACACTTCTCATAAAGACACACTCTGGTAAATCCCCAGAGAGGCATAACTCCCCATGAGGAAAAAGACAAATGATAAAAGTGTAAAGATAATTTTCGATTTTTACTGAATCTGCTGTAGGCTGCCAAGACAGGATGCATACATCTGGACCACCCATAAGAGAAAGAAACCCTTGGGGTGTCCCTGAAAATTCATAGTTATTTCACAAGAATTTCATGTAAACATGCAAGTTGAGAATAGTTCTGAAGTTTATCATATATATAAAAAAACAGTTTAAAAAAGTGAACCAACAGGGTACCCGACAACAGATGTTGTAGCATTGTGGTTTGAGATTAGTTATGTTGATAGTTTAATATTATGATCTTTCAATCATAGCCCTTCATATGTATATAGCAGGTTTCATGTTCAGACAACAGCAGCCGCAGCTATGATTACAGATGTGGTGAAGCCAGGGTGGAAATTAAAATTGAAGAGATGACAGCTGTGCTTGGGCAAACAAGAATGTGCAACAGAAAATGTCCCTTTGTCCCATTACAGACACTGAAATAGGCCAGAGGGCTCTGCTTCATAAGAACAAGAGGGAAGTTGTGGAAAACACATGTAATAGCCTGATGCAATATGGTCTTACAGCTTTGATGAGGAAAATGTGCAGCCTATGGAAGGCCAGTGAAGACAGCTGTCAGATTTAACTAGTGCAGTCCAAACGACACTGAGGCGATTAAACTGTAAAATCCTGAAACACTCTGAGACACAAATAGTTGTATTTTCTTTTAAAAGTGGGCTTGGTCTATTGTATGTCACTATATGCAGCTATAATGCTGACATGGTGTAAATATGTCAGTCACAGCAACTGTAAGTGTAGACGATAAACTAAACATGCACTTCTCAAGACAGGATCTACTTTTCCTTAAGCTTAGAAAATATATTTCTTCCGACAGATTCTTTAAAGTTTTTCACAAACAATCTTTAGGAAAATCAAATATCTGTACAGTAGCCATTTCTATTTTAAATGGCCTTGTTTTCATTTTGAAGGAACGTAACCCACATTATTTAGAGTCCCACACACCCACCTTACTTTCATGTATAGAAATAAAAAAAATAATCAAAAATCAACCAGTTTTCATCTAAACATTTTTTCATTAGATGAAGACGTCAAAATATGAAAAATGCCAAAGCATATTTTTATAGAAAATAAAATGTTTCAGCTGTGCATGAAAAAGTATATACTCCTTTAGTTTGTCAGAAGTCATTCACAGACAAAGGAAAATACAGTATGTTATCTTACATGGTGAACAGGCTCATGTTTGTGGTCAATTAGACCCCAGACGAGTCTAAAACTCTAATCACAGAAATCCAAACAGGCTAACCAGGGGCTTAGGGGTGGCACTGCATAAAAAGACTGTCATCAGCAGTTACAGAGCAAGTATATAAAAATCCACCAACTATATACGTTTTATAGGCGAGGTCACAGTCAGTTCAAAGGTGTAGTTAAGTTTTTCTGTAAAATTAGGTCATTTAAACTTTAACCATGTGACAGTGGCACACTGTAGGTTAACAGGAATACCTCGGGGTCCGGGATCAGCGGTGATCCTCCGGCAGTCTGAGCGGTGACGAGGGCGCACACAGTCAGGATCCAGGCTGCCCTCATCTCCCGTCCAGCTCCGCAGGGGTGGTCCGGAGGTCGGCGGCTCATTGCGGGACAACCACGCGATCAGCACACAGCTACATGCACCGCGCATTTCCATTCAGCTCCTAATATTTTTTCCATTGTTGATTTTCCTCCGCTGTCAGTGAGAGAGAGCATGCTGCAGCTCGCCCAACATCTCCATCCCTGCAAAGACTGACAGGACCTAGTCAACCACCCGGAGTGTTACAGGGGGGGGAGGGAGGGCCAGCACCGCCCCCTCTGTCCGCCTGCAGCTGAGGGCAAGATACCAGCAGAGCAAAGCACGATTTCCCTACTGCACATAACGGGTGGATTCAAAATGCATTTTTCCCGTCTTTACTGTTGTAAATGATGAGTATAAACTCACACAAGGCAGGGAAAAAAGATCACAGTTTTTAATATCATTTTGGAAAAAAAACCCAAGTAAAACATTTTATTCGTTCATACAAAACAATGGTATGAAGTCTACCTCACAAAACATCCGCAACTAGAATCTGGGAGAAAATTAAAAAGGATGTACAAAGAAATAGAAAAAAAAAAAAAAAAAAAAAAAAAAAAAAAAAAAAAAAAAAAACATTTGACCACATGCCAACAGTTCCAATCAGCCCGAAGTCCCTTCACATTAGCTCAACACATGCTTCCCTCACTCACAGATGAACAGTAATAGTTGGGATGCACTGGCTACAAAAAGGTACACAAATCAGAATATCTGATCTATCCCCTTTCCCGATCCTTTTTCGCAGTTTTCCCAAACTAAACCCTCCCTCCACGGCAAACTCAAGGGCTGGAATGGCTTCCATCTGTTCAACGCTTAGTATGGCCGGTCTCTTCTGTCGTCTCTGCGGTCACCTCTGTGGGGAAAAGACAAAGACATCTGTTACTGGCTGCGGGCTTTTTTTTTTTGTAAGACCAACATTAACTTTTGTCATTGAATTAACATTTATGGTGAGAATGAAATATGGTGTCAAATTCTCCTTCACCCACATGTTCCCCTCTTAAATCTGTAAATGGATAACATCATTTGCTTTCAGTAAAGCAAACCGTCCTTCCTTTAACAACCCATTTGCTAACATAGCATTTCCTCTTCAGTGAGTAGCAATAAATCAAAATGTGAAAATACCGTGTTTTTTGCTGTGGTATCGAAATTTGGTATTGACAATCATGTTATTTCATTGGCATTGGTGCCTACCACCAAAATTCTGGTATTGTGACATCCATTGTATTCACACTAAAAACAAACTGATTTGAGTATACTGATGATGTATGTGCCTCCACAAAGCAATGCTAGAGGGCAACAGAGCAGCTTCTCACAGTTGGAAAAACAAAAACTTAAGTTACACCAGTAGAAGCTATATGGTCTACTCTATGGTTCACTTCTTTGTCTCATGATGGGTAAGTGTCATATTTAAGAGCTTCACAGCAGGGGCCCTACTACTGACGTTTGCCATGTCTGGTGATGTTGACTGAAACGCCACGAAACAGGATCGAACAACCACCTGCAACATAACCCACCATCACAACAGTCTTCTAAGCTAAAAATGGAACACTTCCCGACAATCGTATACAAAAACAATTTAGGACTGACGTTACTGCCTATAGCAGGCAAGCACAAATATTTAACTTCTGTAAATACAATTTAAGACATTTTTGCTTTATGACCTTTCACGACTTGAAGATTCCCAGTGTGGGTATAAAAATGTTGAATTCTTGAAGAGATTGGTATATAGTACATGCTGTGTGCAGATAGTATGCAGTATGCAACTGTGACACCAGGATCTGTAACCCAAATTACAGATCCAGGATTTCTTTGCTAGCTACACCCTCTTCTGGTTATATAACCAAACTACATCAGCAGAGACCCACAGACCATACAGGTGTCCTGTCGCAGAAGGTCCAGCTTAAATGTAACAAAAGTTTCACAAACCTTCCTCCCATCTTGTAGCCACCTCCAAATCCTCCTCCACCACCTCCTCCGTAGCTGCCACGGTCTCCCCCGCGGAAACCCCCACGACCTCTGAAGCCACCGCCTCTGTCACCACCATAGCCTCCTCTGCCTCCACGCTCTAGAAACAGTGACAACAACTTAGGTCAGTAAAACGAGAGGAAGCCGTAACGGGGTAAAACACCATGCACTGGACGGACATGGTGCTGATACTTCCTATATGCAATCAAAACATTTTGTCCTACTCAATTTTTTTTACTAGCATTTTGTTCTGTTATTTTCAACTTAACATGTCTTCAGGAATGTGAACAGATAGTAAGCAGCTCATGAACTGTTTCTCATAAAGTTTAAGTACTCACCTCCACCTCCAAATCCTGCATCTCCTGGTTTGGGTGCACCACACTTGTTACACTCTTGCCGCCGTGCAAAATTCATGTTGCCACAGGAGCTGAGGAAAGATCAGATGGACACTTGACATACAATTTAACTTAAAAAATGGGGCCAAATGAGCTGTGCATTAACATTTTTTTTTTTTTTTTTTTTTTTTTTTAAAAACATGAAACCTCCTACAAACCTGTTGGGACATGGCCAGTCTCCTCCCTTAATGTCAAAGTTGGGCCCTCCACCACCACGACCTCTGAAACCTTTAAAACAAAAAGGACGATTGATGAAAAACAGAGCAGCAACATCCAACACAAATTATTACACAATTTAAAAACTTTTCTCCGGTATTTGAAGGCTGGGACAGCTCGATCATTACGTACCTCCTCGCGCCCCTCTGCCGCCGCCTCCTCTCTGTGTGAACTCAGCTCTGCGGGTAGCAAATGATACTTTGATGGGTTTGCCATTGAATTCCTTGCCTGAAATTAAAACATGATGTCAGTGAGAGTGATGTTAAAATCTTACTGAGGAATTTGAAATAATTGCCAGTGCTCTTACCATCAAACCAGTCAATAGCTGCTTTGGCAGAGGGCGGGTCATCAAATGACACTGTAGCTTCTCCCTTAGGCCGCCCGGTGGCCTTGTCAGAGTAAATGTTGATCATTGGCTGGCCGGTCTTCTTGTTTACCTAAATACACAAAAATACATTGAATTCTCAAGGCATTTGTTTGCACTTACCATTTCTACACCTGCTTGGGGCTGGGCGCCAGGTAATCAGACAGGTTTAACGCTCAACTAAAACTTAGGTAACTGGTTCAAAGAATAAAGAACTGCTGTGTGACAAAGGCTTTGGCTGCTCTACAGTCCTAAAGGTGTGTGAATTTAATTCAGTCCAGGGAAAGGAAATTAGTGCCAAAATGTAACTGGACTAACTCAATACCTTGATGATACCAATTTGCTTGAAGAAGTCGCCGACTTCCTGGACTGTGGCATCTTCTCCCAGCCCCTGTACAAAAATGGTGTTGTTGTCAGAGTTGTCCTGCTCTCCAGCTGTGGAAGAGATCAGAGGAGACGTCAGCTAAGATAACAGCACTGACTGTAGTGAATGGTTATATATGGAGATCATTCAGGTGGGATATCATCATCATTCTGCTATCAGATTACAGTAAGTGGACAAATTTTTCGAATAGGACAGATTGATTAGTTCAAACCACCGTTCATTAAGCATGTACTACTAAGCCGGTTTTACCTGGTTCATCCCTTGAGCCGTAGTCTCGAGAGCCTGTAAAACAGAGGAGAGGATGGAAGAGAACACTTGAGGAGGGAATCTTAAAAACTGTCCGTACTGTTTCACAGAAATAATTATTAACTTCATCCCTACCAATGCATAATGATACAAAGAAAATTAAACAAAGTCCATGTTTACAGCTCTCTGATGGGTGTTTTCATACCGTTGTACCACATACCAACACCTTGCAACAAGAACAAAACTGTTCTGTTTTCTTTTTTTGAGCTTACACCAGAAATGAAAACCACCAAAATGTCTCCAGTTTTAGAAAGATTTCCTTCTTCGTCCTGGGAACACCTCTGTCATTTACAATCAGCCCTCGTCTTCATGCAACAATACCATTATTTTACAACTCAGGCTCCATGTTCTTTACCATATCTGAAGTCATTTATGAGAAATCCTGCTAAGAATAATAGGTTGAGTCCCTTGGGATCTGGACATGAAAATGGTGGCATTCACTTTTTTTAAAATCCCCCTCCTTTTTTCTTTTTTGCTAACTCAAGTTCTTTCCTCCCCCACCGACACAGTTCTGATGCTCGTCACTTACCACCGTAATTTTTGTAGCCACCACGGTCACCACCTCTGCAGAGGAAAAATTGGAGATATGATGGCTTTTCCTTTGTCCCAACTGAGAGCTCAAAGCTCCCCTACATCCCCATCAGTATGCACTCCTGCCAGGGTGTGCGACTATGGTGGAAATGTCTCACACGAGGAATGTGTTAGTCTTTGACATTAGAGATCAATTAACAGACGACTAGGAAGCGCTGACTTTACAATCAGGCAGACGAGTGAAGACAATTATCACATGTCACTGGATCACCATTTACAAAACAAATTTGGTACTTTTTCTATTTACGTGACCAGATTGGATACCAAGAGCTGGAAAACCAGCTGAATGTGATTTTTCTTTAACATGAGAAGCCAAATTGGTGTGAAGGGGTGTAGCAACTGATTAGCAATCTTCCACTGAGTGCGTTTATGAGATCCTTTAACTGAGGTCCAAGTTTTAGTTCAATCACTCTGAACACCTGTAGTATGAAATGTAGATCCATGTTAACACAACACATATGTTCGCCATTGTCAAATATACAACACTTGAATGAAACCTGTTGAATGTGAAGCAGCTGAAGATGTGGCTCCAGGTCTAAGGGCATTGTGTCAGTGTCATTTCCATTGTTCAAAAACTATTATGTGGTCTTCAGAGCACAAGAACACACCAAAGTTGAGTTTCTGGCAGTTATAAAGTTTGGCTGCTGGAGATTTAACTTTGACAAAAATATGGCAGCACAACAACAAGAAAAAAAAATTACCGCTCTGTGTAGACCAAGGTCAAAAAAAAAAAAAAAGTAAAAAAGTAAGAATAGCTGTTGTCTGCATTAAATGGTTTTCACTGGTCTAAGAATATATAAAAACTGTAGAACAAATATACAGTGACAAAACATCATTATACCAGTTGGCTTCACATTGTTACCTAGTCACCCAGCATGTGGAGCTCTCAAATCATACCAAAGTTGGTCTCCAAAAAATTCAAAACACATTATCGATTTGTTCTCCTGAGAAACACAGGCAGATGGGTACTTTAGCTAGAATCTCTCTTCAAAACTGACATGTACTAAAAAGGGTAAAGGGCCCATTTTCAAAAGGTGGAGCACAAGTTTGTGTAAGACATCTTAATGATGTGCTGCAGCATTTTTGTCCTTACAGAATCATCAGTTTAGGCAAAGCTCTATTTTTATTGGCTGTTCAGTTGCAGAACGGAAAAGAACCAGTCCCAATGTCTGGGATAAGATGGTTGCACAACCGGGTCTCTGTTGCCTTTAGAGCTATTTGGTCAGACATGTGTTCAGTCTCCATTTACTTAAGACCTCAAAGACTGCAATCACCAATGGAACCTCTAACGACAACCTACAGTACATGCGAGTACCCATCATGTGATCGATTTAAAAGCAGCATATCTCTTACCTAAAAACTTGTGAGTGAATCAAGTTTGAATAAAGAAATTCTGACAAGGTTCAGGCAACTGGAGCAAAATGCAGAGGGGTGGTGAATATTATCTATGTGATCTGTGACAACCTTGGGGGGTGGGGGTGTGGGGGTGTAAAAAAACAAACAAAAAAACAAACAAAAAAAACATTACCAGGTTTTGGGGATGTGGAGCACAAAGCAGATGAGTGGTCAAAATCAATTATGTGGATGGTTTGTAGATGATGAGTAATGATGGGGTGAGTGACAACAAGTCATGTCTCATTTCAGTGTATAGAGGTACCTTGGGGGCAGTGGCACTGTGCAACTTACCCCATACCAGGAGGTCCACCTCTTCCGCCGCGGTCGTATCCACCACGGTCATATCCACTACTGCGGTCATAACTGCCACGGTCATAGCCACCACGGCCTCGGCCTCTATAGCCACCTCCTTCTGAACGGTCTCCTTGGTCACGTCCAAACCTCCCACCCTGACCACCACCTTCACCTGGTGCAAAGACAGATTTATTATACACACCACCTGACTAATTAGAAAGCATTTGTAGGTACTAACATAACCACACATGTAGTTTCCATATTGAGATTAATCCAGGTATTCATACCTTCACTCCATCTTCCATAGCTGCCAGCTCCTTGCCCCTGGCTACCATATCCACCACCACCACCAGCAGCACCAGCACCAGCTCCAGCAGCACCCTGTCCCTGGCCGCCATAGGAGCTTTGCTGTCCAAAGCTGTCTCCTCCCTGCCCCTGGCCACCAAAGGAACCTTGCTGTCCATAAGAACCTTGTTGTCCAAAAGAAGATGAGGACTTGTCGGCATACCTTGAAGCGGTTTTAGAAAAATCATTACAGTTAGCACAACAGAGATGCTGAATATTTGAAAGCTTGAGGCAGGTATGACAAGTATGGCAACATTGGTCATTAGTCAATTCAAAATATATCACATAATTGATTTGCTGGTTTTCATGACTGCCTTTTCAGTCTTATGTAAAACAAATTATGTATCTGAATTTAATAGATGTGTAACAGTATGCTGTATAGTTTGGTTTTGTATTGTTTGATGTTAACATTTTATTGTTAAAATTATGAGAAACAATTATTCTACCTCTTAATGTACTAAGCTATATTACAAAAAAGACAGTCAGTGAAAATCATGTCACACAGATTTAACACTGTTTGATCTGCACTCTCACAATTAGCATCTTACCCAGATGAATCCTGTCCATAATTATCATAGCTCTGTTGCTGAGGCTGACCATAAGCATCTGTAAAAACAAAAGTCAAAAAGAAAGTTCAAAAACTGATAAACATCTAATGTCTTTCAAAACCTTATACTGTTTAATTCATTGTTTTATGGTCTATGATACAAGAAAACCAATCAATATTATCTTTCTAAACTAAAACACTGGAGAAAAGCATCTTGAATTCTTCTGTCACTTTTCTGTGGGGGGTGTATTTTATTCAAAGCAAATATTCTAACCTGCAATATCTTCATGGTACAGGATATTATTGTAAACATGAATATCAAAGAATTCATCCAACAAATCAATCTGGTTTATGCATGCATCATACCTTGCTGTCCATAGCCAGTGTAAGTCTGTGCCCCATAAGAGCCACTGCCATTTCCTTGTCCATAACCCTGTAGAGCAGAAAGGCCATTTAGACAGGTTATAATCAAAAAGAAAAGGATTTGAAATTATAATGCTTACAGTCAATAGGCTCTAATTTAGGAAATGGTCTTACCTGTCCACCCTGCTGACCGCCATATGATCCATAGCTACAAATAAATGATAAAAGTATTTAGCTTCAAGATATAAGTATGTTAAAAACTCTTGGGTGGTGGTTTAAAAGATTGGGTAGTTTTCTGCTAAATTCTGCTATCAAAAAGTAATGATTGTCATCAGTCCACCCAATGGTACATAGCAAACAGGAACTGTTAACAGTGAATTTGGTGTATTCAATTTATCAAAATGTAAACAAATAAAAGTTAAGAAATGGGGCTTAATTTGTAGTCCTCAGCCCTACTCACTGAATCCATCGAAACATAACATTTTCACAGTTTGTATCTGTTCATTTAATATTTTAATCCAACCGATTTTGGCTATAATGGTCATGTGTTAATCATGTTTTGAATAAGCATGTGCACAACAGTAAAATAAAGATAGAGATGATTCATGCGATTACCTTTGTGAACCACCGTAGCCCGAGTCTGAAAGAAATAAAAGTGTTTTTTCATTAGTAGGGCATTAAGGACAAAACGTGTCTACTACATAGATGAAGGTGACTAAGCAGCTGACGAAACTGAATAGGCTAGAAGGCAGATGTATGAATGCAGTGGGACAGGCCCGTCACCACGCCAATGCTGTAAAAATGGCGGTCAATTTCGTCTTGGTTTGGGCTAAGTTTTGAAACGAGACCAACCACCCTCGCTTCATAAATGCTGTCCATCCTCCTCGACACAATCTGTATTTAAACACGGCGTTTAAATGTGAATACTGACAGCGTTTCCTGTAGCTACATTTGCTCAGGTAGCGCAAAAATGTTTCTCGTTCAGCAAGGGAAACAATAGCTTCGGTGTAAACAAAGAAGCATTTAGCCGACACCTACAGCAACGTTAGCCGCGACACGGCCCTGTTCTGTCTGCGATAATCACACGCACTTACCCGTTAACAATGAGCAAAGTTTTTTTTTTTTAAAAAAGCGTGATCACAAAGACTTTTTTGCCTACGAATAATAAACGTTTAGTAAAATACCCGATAAAGCCAACTTGGCTGTGCTAATGAAAGACGCTCCATGAAATAGACGAAGCCCGAGTCCTGGCCTCGCGGTTAGCGGCTAATTTAGCTCCAATGCTATTTGACCTACTTTTCATTATTCATACAAAAGATTTACAATGAGAAGACATGCTGACTTACCGGTGGCCATTCTGTGCCGTTATATGGAAACAATATATATATATATAGTTTAAAAGTAATTGATGAATCCCGTTAGTTCTGAATAGCTGATAAAAACCCTGGCCGACATGTACGCAGCGGAGAACAGAGCTGAAGTCACTGCGGTACTTCCCTTATGCAACTTCTTCCTCTGCCTGTTTCAACACGCTGCTCTCATGCAAGGCTAACTTAAACTACCGCCACCTACTGTTTCACAGTGTTTATGGCGGAAGGTTGTTCGACATTAAAAACATATTTCATACTAGTTTTATTCACTTAACTTATTCAACAAATAAGATTTTTTTTCCTACCAATGCCAAATATTCTCTCGGTTCATGTGAGAACAGTTTAGTTTTTAATTATGAGAACTGAAGCTTGTTTGTGTGTTTCCACAGGTAAAAAAATACACAATTCATTGGAAAAAGTTTATTAAAAAATATATACAGTGCGCAATTAATCACAAGTAGCATCATTTGTCATCAGCTCCATAGAAAACAAATGACCTTTTAGGCAAATTAAAATCATGATTAACTGAACTAACATCAAACTGAACTCCAACATCAATTCTCCACCTAATTATTTTAGTTTCATCTTTTGTTTATTTCATTGCAAATTGTAGATTCTGTGTGGTAATTCCTCATGAAGATCTAATCATGATATCAGTAAAGAAAAAAAAGAAAGAAAGAAAGAAAGAAAGAAAGAAAAAAATGTCATTGTGTCAATGAACATGTCATTCAGTGCAACGGTGTGGCTCACTGATATGTTTGTGGACAACAATGGAGCTCTATGGCACAGTTGAGTCAGATATATCAGGCTTTGATACACACATAGCACTCATTGGTAGGAACCATGATGACAAGAAAAATATAGACAATCACCATACTTGTATAATATAATATTTTAGCACTGACATGATGATGTTCCAGTGTTCTCTCTGATGTCATAGAAGAGTGATCTAGAACCACATATGTCAGAGACAGACACAGACATTCAGTTCCATAGCAGAACTTCAGCAGAAGTAAATCATTTGTGATTTCAAACACTCGTCCCAGTGAGTTCTTGTCAGACATTTTTAGAGAGTGATTCTAAGAGATCAAGAATGGAGAAACTGAGAGCACAGCACCTGTACAAAGACCTTTGTAGCATCTGTCAGGAGGAGATCAGGAAACTCTCTGTAGAGATGGAGGCTCTTCAGCTGAAGAACCATGAGATGAAACTGCACTAGAAGGTTCAAATTGCAGCTGAGAGTAAGGAAAAGGAGGTCATGAGCATGAAATTGGAAGAGCTTCAGAGAACTGAAGCCATGACCCTGAAGAAGAGAGCAGAGAAGGGGGCCTGCTCTCCAACCGTGGAGGGACTTCTTCAACAACTTGAAGAAGCAAAAAGGCAGCATTCAGCTGAAAAACTGATGCTTACCGCTGAGCTCACCGCAGCCATACAGCAGCTGACAGATGTCAACCAGCAGCTGGAGAGAGAAAAGCACTCGAGGATGCAGGTAGAGGCAGACAAACTGGAGGCTGTGGAGATTGCAGACATTCTCTTAAAAACAATTGAAGACATGCAGAGGGCCTCTGAGGAGCGTTCAGCTGAGCTCAAATCAGAGAAAAGCAAACAAGATCAACTTCATCTTGAAATCCAGAAGCTCCAGAAAGAAAAAGACCTGAGGATCCAGGCAGAGGCTGAAACCCAGTTCATGCACATGAAGTTGGAGGAGCTTAATGAGCTTCAGAGAACTGAAGCCATGACCCTGGAAAAGAGAGCAAAGAACGGGGCCTGCTCTCCAACAGTGGAGGAACTTCTTCAACAACATGAAGAAGGAAAAGGGCAGAATTCAGATGAAAAGCGGATGGTCACTCCAGCCAAACAGCAGCTGAAGAATCTCAACCAGCAGCTGGAGAGAGAAAAGCACTTGAGGATGCAGGTAGAGGCAGACAAACTGGAGGCTGTGGAAATCGCAGACACTCTCTTCAAAACAATTGACGACATGCAGAGGGCCTCTGAGGAGTGTTCAGCTGAACTCAAATCAGAGAAAAGCAAACAGGATCAACTTCATGTTCAAATCCTGCAGCTGCAGCAAACGCTCCAGCAAGAAAGAGACCTGACGGTTCAGGCGGAGGCTGAAACCCTTATAGACTTCAGAAACATGGAAGTCTTCTATAGAGACTTCAACCGCCAGCTCCAGGCAGAGAGAAAACTGAGGGCGGAGGTAGAGAGGAGCAGACTGGAGGCCGTTAAAATCAGCGAGGCTCTTTTCCAAACATTGGAGGAAGTCCGAATGGTCACAGAGAGGCTGTCTGCTGAAAGCCAGATGCTCGCTGACAAGCTGAAACAGGAGGGGAAGAAGCAGGAAGCACAAGTTCAAGACACCAAGGAGCTCACTCAGATGCTCAAAAGAGAAATGGCTCTGAGGAACCAATCAGAGAACTACGAACTGGAGACGTTTAAGGTTGTGGAGGCTCTCCAAAGGAAAATTAAACAACTAAGAAAGATGCACGCTGCTAAGACTTCTTGCTGGAACAGAAGAAGAGCTGCTCACTGAGAACCATCAGCCCTCTCTGTTTTAACTGTAACTTTATGTGGAAAATGCTTTTTAACATTTGTCAGTTTTACTTGTGTCAGGACTACTGATGCCAGTTAGCTGTTGAGCTAACACCGGCACATTTATACAGATCTTGTGTTGATTTATGTGCACTCTCTCATACAAATAAACAAATAATCAATGAACGCACAGCCCAGCCTGCAGACTTTATTTATCCTGTGGGGAAATTAACAAACTACCCAGCAGTACATAAAGTAATTAAAGTTAGCTCCACCTGCAACATAAAACGGCTGCAACATAAAAGTGATGAACACATTAATGCATCAATAATTATGATTCAGTCATATAATATACATTAATTTGAAACAGGCCATAATGAGTACATTTTTGTTACTTTAAGCATCTTTTGATGCTAATTGGACTTTAGCGATAGGTACATTAGCTTTGTGGAAAGCTAAAGCAGTCGAGAGCTTAAATATTAATTATCTTGAAACTGGAACAAAGTACATATACTTCGTGTGTGAAAAGGTAATCCAGCATGGAAACAGCAGACTCTGCCATGAAGAATAAAATCTACTACAGTAAGGTAATCACTGAATGTAAAAATGAATAGATAGAGCAGAAAAATGCCCCAAGATGAGGTAAAAGCGCAGGAGCTGCCATAAAGGAGTAGTTTGTTTTTCAGGAAACAAAACACTGCAATCATGTAATGGTAAAAAGATTGCAGTGTTATCTTCACAAATCCGTGAAACCGTCAGATTTGCTTGTGTTGTTTTGTTCAAGTATGTTACATAGACAGCTGCTGGTAAGGTTACTGTAAGTCATGCAATAGGAGAAGCTGCTGATTCAATTAAAACATAAACACAGCGCAGCCCAGTGTGATTTTAAAATCTCATCGTTACTTCCTCATAATACTGAGTGACGGAGCTGAAACCTCATATCTGGTGACAAATGACAAACAGATGGTTGAGATAATTTGCTAGAGTTAATAGATTGTAGACCGATGTGAACACAAACTTCTTCCACTGTTTTAACATGCTCTATTGATACACTTGACTAGGCCACTGTATGTAAGTAAATCCCAAAGTTTAACCTCATGTAATGACAAAAAAAAAAAAAAGACATCCACCTGGCAAATTATTCCAATTTTATTCATTAAAAAAATGCATGCCTTAATGCATTCAAACACATCATAAAGTGGAATGACAAAAAGTGACAGCGCTGGGTAAAGTGTCTCACATGAATTGGACTTTCTATCAAAATTTTAATAAGGAAGAAAAAAGAAACTATTAAAAAGATGAAGGTTTTAATGCTAACTTAATATATAAGGCAGTATTAAAAAGGCACAAGCTGCACTTTAACTGGTTGGCTGACCTCCACATGTTCACATGAAAGTACTGTGATGAACGCTGATTGACAGATGCTGCGAGACACACAAAATGTTTTGATATGTCCAGTTACCTTCTCCAACTAGTGATGCATATCTAATTGGTCAAAATAATGAATACAGAAAAAAAAAATACAAATGACAATGCCAAACAGAGGTGGTTATCAAGACAAAACCAATTCATAACCCTCTGCTGTCAGATGCATATAAAATAAACTACTGCCACTTGGGAGGCAAGATCTGGTTTCAAGTCTAACATTTTACAAATATCACAGGGTACCTATGAATTCATTTTCCTCATGTTTACAGGCAGATTTGTATGGGAAACTAAATGCAAATAATCTCATGTTTTTTCTATAAATGATTTTTCCCTTTGCACAACTCTTCATGCCTTTCAAAAGGTTACCCTCACTGATTACAATGAACAACAACTTATGCATAAAAGGAAAATCCCTTGTCAAAATACAAAGGTAAACATAATTGTACCTATGACGCCAGTTTGTTACACCAAACATTTTCCTCACAGAATTTTAACAAAGTTTTTAAAACATTTAAAGTATTTCAAGTACTTATAAAAGTACTATGAGATCAGCTCTGGGCGAAACTAAAGCTTCCGAGTGTTCACACTGCAACAGGAACACACAACGCTCATTATGTTCACTTAGACATACAGTATGATGGGATATTATCTGCTGTAGTACTGCAATGTTTATCAGTTGGATGAAAGTTACAAATACCTCATGATGGCAAACAGAATGAGCTTTCTAAATTTTCAATGTGAATCGGTATGTTCACAGTGGAATTATATTATGTACATCCAGAGCTTGGGATTGGGGCATCCCTGTCCCACTAAACAGATGGATTTTCTACTCAGAGTCATCATCAATTTAAAAAGATGCACAGCTAAACTGAGTGACTCATTAGTATCAAAAAAATGTGTCTAATCAAAATTAAATCTGAAAATATGATGAGTATTTTCTGCATTTGCATCTTATCATTCTTATTTTACTCATGTCTGCAAGTTCCTACATCCAATCTGAATGGCCATAGTTGCAGTCGTACACCCAATTACACTAATTCATTCATTCATATGTATCCCCTAACTGTCTCTGGATACCAAGTAAGTGTTGTTTGGTCTGAGACCATGGCTCAAGTGAGGACTCCAGCAGACACAGGCTGGTGGTCCAGGTATAAAATGTAGTATACATAAATAGGAAAAAAAGACTGAAATTGCTGAATGGGTTTATTACAACCTTCTGAGGTAGGGGTTGCCTCATGATCTGCTACTTGTAGCTCTCATTAACCAGGGTGAGTATGAACAAGTGTTTTTTTTTTTGTTTGTTTGTTTGTTTGTTTTTTTTTTTTTTACAATCAGTTCAGATAAACAAAGATGTCCAATAAAAATAGAAATTTTAAAACCACCACTTGAGTAGTGAGAATCAGACTGTGTTTGAGGCTCTTTAACTCCAGACATCTTGTGAGTAGCGTCCCTTGGTCATCAGTTTCTTGATGTAATCTGTGGCCTGGGTGCGCACCATGCCTCCCATTTCTTCTGCGATTTCATGGAAGGTCGTCTGCACATCCTTAGCCATGTTTCTTGCATCCCTAAACCAGCAAAGAGATCAGTTTAGATGTCTGGTTCTAATAGTTTATAGATGATTTAAAAAAAAACAAAAAAACACTATATTTCTGGATATTTCAATTTAATCAAATAAACTGATATCGGTTGGCAATAATATTCAGATCAAGTCATGGTGTAAAGTAATGGAAGTGTTTGAAACCATCAGTGAAACCACTTCTCATTACCCCACTAGGAGGTGCAAACACACCAAAGACACTTTGCTTTTCCAAACAAATATTCATCCTAATGTTTTCTTTTTTTTTTGTCCAGGTTGATTCTTTTACATAACAACATAAAAATGCAAAATTATTTCAGTTAGAGGCACAAAGTATCAGCACCTTCAACTAAGGAGTATTCAGTGCTTATCAGTTCAATCAATACACAAATGTGACATTGACAATTAATTGTGAATTTACTGAAAATCATATTTTTTGTCAGTCAAATTTCCTTATTACCCGCAGACGTAGATATGAGCGTTTTCTGTGTGAATCAGCTTCCAGAGGTCCTCCTTATTATTCTTCAGGAGATGCTGCACGTACACCTTTATTGTGGAGAATGAATGAAAGGAGGAAATGTTGTTCTAGTTGCAGTGTATGCACTGTAGGCTATAGGCAACACATGGTGAACAGACAGACAGACAGACACTAACTCACACACTACTTGACTGAAATAAGCATTAAATTTTATATAACTTGAGATAAACACTTAGCATGTATGATTCCAGCTATTGTAAGGTGCTTCAGTAAACTATAATCACAGCTAGCCAGTAGCTTCAACTCTAAGGGACACTAACACCAGTGACGCAGACAGTCGTACCTTCTGCTCCTGGTCTCTGGAGAAGGCAACATTAAGCTGTGTTAGGACTCCATTCTTCTCTGCTTCCTCCAGCTCCTCCTGGTAGAGATAATCCTCATTCTTATGCCTGCAGCCAAAGTACATCACCGTCTCTCCAACCTCCTTTCCTGTAAAAGGAAACAAAACAAAACATTGTCAAAATTGTCACACCCAACCTTCATCGTGTTTTATAAGTCACTTTGTAAGCATACCACATCACACAGTTTCTACTTAAAACAGCCTAACTGTAACAAATTGCATATGTGCAATTTATCTGAATAGGTCAACATGAATAATAAGCTGGTCAAACATGTCTTTTTAAACAGGTGTTTCCACCATTGGATATTTGTTTAATTGTACCCATCAACCCTTACTTGTATCTGTACCACTGAATGCTTTGGATATACATTTTTTGTGAGCACTTGAGCAGTTGGAGGTCTACCACGTCATTTTTCTTTCTTTAATGAGACATAAGGTTATGAAAGGTCAGACAAACAACAGCACACACAGGCACACACACCATGGCACACAGCGTCTGTTAATACCTTGCTCTTTTAGCCAGCCCCTCTCCTGGATGAAGCCCATGAAGGGAGCGATTCCTGTCCCAGGGCCGATCATGATCACTGGGTTGGTGGCTTTGAAGGGCAGGCGGAACTGAGATTTGCGGATGTACATGGGAACAGTGGACTTGTGGCCATTGTCAGAGACCAGTTTGTTTTTCAGCCAGTTGGTGGCAACTCCTTTGTTCATGCGGCCAGTCTTGGTCTTGTACTCCACCACTACAGCACAGATGTGGATACTGTTGGGGTGAACCTACATAACAGAGGAGAGTTATTAACAGCTTACTCCTGTAATCCAGGAAACATCATTGCCAATATCAATTAAAAACACCAACGATAAAAAAATGTCTGTGGAGTAAATTAAAAAGATATGACTTGAATTTCTTTTCCCTGTGATTTAAATAGAGAATTACCTTAGAGGAGGAGGCAATGGAATAATAGCGAGCCTGGAGCCGAGGCATCAGCTCACACAGATGGTCAATGGGAGGCCTCAAAGTAGGCATATCCTCCAGGATGGCGAGGATGTTTCTACTGGCATCCAACACCCAGCTCTGATAGAGAGCCTGTAGATAGGCAGCAACAAAAAGACAACAACATACTATAAGTGGTGGAAAAAGGGACATCACAAACGTTCAGCACATGCATCAGTTTTCATTATAACACCCCCACCGATGACACTTCACCATTCATCACTGACCTTGCCCTCGGGGGAGGAGGAGGCCATCTTGCGCATGTTCTCCTGGTCTTTGGGGTCAGAGGCGTACTGTGCCAGCTCGTAGAGGACATTGGTGCGAGGGGGGTGTGTGATGTCCAGGTAGTGAGTGAGGGCCGTGCGGTAGGTGGTGGGGCAGGGGAAAGGGTGCTTCTTGTTGGACTCATCTGAAAAAAAACAACAAAAAAACAGAAAAAACACACATTAACAACTTTATTTTTTGGTACCATGAAATTCCACTTTTCATGGTCTACTGGTAACAAAAAACATTAAGTAAAGTTTGTATCATGGAGCACTCAAGAAAACATAAAATGATGCCAACTTTTGCATTCTAATGTATTTTCATTATATAAGAAACAGAAATAATTACTGTCATGTCTTCTTCGTTGTATTAATACATTGTGTTTTTTGATTAGAGGTAATCAAATACATCCATCGACGACCTTAGCACATTTTCTATTAAGTATTTAAATATATGCATTTAATTTTGAGGAATGTGGATAAAATACATAAACAAAAAGCCTTAATTATCACCTATGCAACCAGCAAGTACATATGACCTTCATGATGACATGAAACGCATTTAACTAATAAAAAAAACTCAACAAGTTATATTACAGCAATAATTTGTAATTGCAGTAATAACCATCATCCACTTCAAATGCAATACATGCACTGATACTCCAGGTCTAGATATTGAGAGAGGATTTCATGAGACGGTTTGTGGGACGAGTTAATTAAGTCAAGGTGCTTGGGGCTTTCAATGCCATACCATCAAGGTTGTTGAGAGAGATAACCACATCAAGGTCCACTCCAAGGATGTGTCCCAGCTTGTTCACCAGCCCAGAGTCATTTGTAGGGAAAACAGCAACGTGGTCTCCTGACTCATATCTGAAATGACCGAATATGACAAATTTAGACTTTGACCTGTGTTCATAAAGCCTTCAAACAGAACAAGAATGAGACCTGTCCATCTGGTACCATGGCGTTAGAGATATGGAAAAAAACAAACACAAACAACAAACACCTCATGTATCATTTATTCAACAAGTCTAACCTGATCTTGGAGCCTGTTATGTCGAGTTCCAGGTGCATTAGGTGTCTATCACCAGCTTTGTTGAGTCTGCGGTTGACAGTGACTGGGGCTAGGAAAGGGTTTTTCGAATCAAAGGGCCTGTAAATAGAAGAGCAACACTTAAATGTAAAAATGTAATTACAAAGGGGTTGAACATAGTCAAATTATTATTCAATAAATAAATTACTTTACAAGGTTTGATTTAAAAAAAAAAAAAAAAAAAAAGGAGTGATGATTTTCAGTGTCCACAAGGGGGCAGAAAGCTTCACTTTTAGAAAGTGACCTTTGATAAACTTTTGCAGTTGATTACAAATGTAGGTGAAATGTAAACAATGAGTCCTGGAAGTGAACATCGCCTCTGCTACAGTACAGTACAGTACTTACGGCTTCTGGACCTCAAAACTCTTCAGGCGACCAATCTCTCCTGTGTACACTTTGTTCATGTTGATGTCAGTGTGCTCCTGCAGCTCGTACTGCCGTATGCTGTGAGGGAAACAACTTGAAGTTAGCCTCCTCAGACACTGCACGCATACATAATGAGATCTATTTCATTTCTAGTGAAACAAATTAAAATAAATGTTGTAAAGGTGGCACACTTGTTCTTGTTTTTTAGGCTGATGCATGCCCAACTTAAGACTTATAATTAATATATAATTCTTGGCATTTGTTCATTTAACATATAGTTGAATGGTGTTTTACCACATAATTGAGATATGTCCTGATTTAGCATTATATGACAAGTCTTAGTTAAGATATGGATGTTTCAAAAAAAGAAGAAAGAAAAACATTTTGGCAAGAGTATCATTTTAAACCTAGCCATGTGACACTGATGTGTCGCATTTGCAAATCCCTGTCTGGTGATCAACTTGTAACTTCCATCTGTGATTAGTTTTTCGTTTAAACCTGGACTGAAAAATATGCATTGTGTGAAAACTACCTCTGATCTGACAACTGAGAAAACATTTGTTTGCGTATTTGCAAGTTCTCCTCTTTCATCGTCAGTGCAATGTTCCCTTTATGGTCAAATTCAGGAGGACACAACAACAGTTTCTCTCTTACAGCTGAATTAAGGCCAAGAGGCAGGAGGCTGCTCACACAGGGTCTAAATGGTCAAACCATAAAAACTGTGAAATGTCTACAAATGCACCTTGAATCATCTCCTAAGGCTTCCACTCCAAAGTGCTCACAGATGGCCGGCCAGAACTGCTCTCTCCATGAAATGAAGTCCTCTTCCAGACTGAGAGACAAAAACAGAGTATCTGAATTAACATTTGTTCAAAAAGGCTGATTTAAGTTACACTTTTTATTTATGACAACATGAAAACCCTTTGAAAAACATCTTTATTTTATTTATTATGCAGCACCCTTTCTTTTGAAAGTTTTGTTAAAACACTGCAAGTGCAATGGACTGTCCCTCTCCCTCTCCTTGAAATGAACAAGTTTTGATTCCATCTCACGATTGAGAGGGTTTTTTGGTGGCTTCAAAGGTCTGTGCAGTGCTAAAAATGTAAAGGGTTGATCCTCTAAGGGGCATGAATGTGTTCAGTAAGTTTCATAACTTATTAGATTTAATTTGTGTGAACATAAACATCTCATTTCAGCTGCTCACCATTTTCCTCACCCTCAGGTCCAGATTTATTTTGCTAATTTATGGCAGTTATCCATGCATTCATTTTGGTCTTTAAAAACCTTTTAAATTGTTCTGACGCCACATGCATGACATTATGTTACTATTACAGACTCCAGAGGGTTTTAAACAATCACAGATTGTTCTTCTTGTCAAGTAATTAATAACCCTGACCAGAAAAAATGGAAGTCAGCATTTCTTTATAGGCTCAGAGGATTAATTGGTAACTTACTTCCCATCATCATCTCCCAACCCGAGGTCAAAGATGCGCTTGGCTCTCAGTTCTTCCAGCCTTTTGTCAACATATTTTCCCATTGCATTGTAGTGTTCATATGTCTTGTTGCCCAAAGCGAATACCTGAAGACAGAACAGGGTACAACAAGACACCAGTCAGTGAGCTTGAACGAGCAGTGACACTGGAACACAGTGTACCATGGTGAATTTGCATTTTTCAGTTATTAAACATTGTTAACAATTAATCTAAAGTTACTGTTTTGCAATTAGTCAATTTACCAGTGCAGATATTTGAGCGCTTTTCTGTTTAATGTTGAACACATGAAGTTATTGTCGTCATTTATTTTATAAAAATACAGAATGAAAACAAAATGCCATATGCCTTACAAGAGATGCTGAAAAATCTCTCTGTGATTAATGTATGACGTCACTCTTATCCAGACCAGAAAGACAATAGATAAAATACAGTAGGAAGGATGTGACTGTGCCCAAGAATTTCAGATTTCTCACAGTCAAGTTCCTCACGCAAATGAGGCCAGGAGCGCTGCACCCCAACAATCACACAATGACACACACGCACAGACAGACCAGACATGACAACACACAAAGCCTTTTCTTTCATGATGCACACAAAACCCGACGCAGTTTGTGCTAGCGAAGCCTGCCAACTCAATATGAGAACCATGCAAACTGACATAGTGTGACTCATAAAATCAGCAGGTTGCGCAGGGACAATGGTGAACAAAATTTGAATTTAAATGTGACTCACATCCTTTATGTTCATTGTAGGAGTAATGCAAATCCAGCCTGTATTGGTTTATCCAAATATTCCGAGCCAGCTATTCAAATTTCCATGTAACATTACCTCTAAAAAATGCCAAAGGGAAATCATTCGCATTCTTTCAAAACTGGATGACTTTTCCATCATTATAGTGTAGGGCTGAAGGTAAGGAGCAAAACAGAGGCTATACACTAAATGTGGACATTGAAAAATGTGGTCACACATTTTAAACAATTCAGCAAACAACTGTTTTCTATGTAAAGATATAGTGTAACAATGGCGTCCTGAACAGAGAACAAAGTCGCATCCCCTCTGTGTGTGCTGCTGCTAAGTTTTTACTCTGGTCATTGTTTTGGTAGCCGGTCTTGCAGTGCGTTCCGGTGGCTCTCATGTACACATGGGTAACTTTATTCAGTTGTGCTTCCTGTTGTGTGTTTAGTGGCTGCTTTCACTGGGCCTCATAACACCTTACTGAGAACGTTTTGGTCATGACATTTGATGGAAAACGTAACGCATGTTTACGCATCACTAACACCAAAACAATTCCTATGCAATCACCTTTTAATTACAAACATAACATTTATGTAATTGTCAGTGTTCTTGTAAGGTTGTAAGAATTTGAAAGAAAAAAACATGACAATAAAAACTCACAGTGTAGTTTAGTCCGCTGAGGTCTTCATCATCATTTTCCTGCAGCCAGTCATAGAAGTCCTGGGCGTTATCTGTTGGGTCTCCTTCGCCATAGGTGGCCATGCAAAATATGGCAAGGGAGTTTTCAATCTCCGACAGACGGGACAGTTCCCCCTGGAACATGAAACATCAGTATCAGAAAATGACCACTGTAGAACTAATATGCTCATCTTCAATATCTGACCAGCCGTCTCAAGAGTTGCCCTGTCAGCAAACTTGGTTCTCAGTGTTGCAATACACTCTTGGACAGAGCCTGAGATCATTATATTGTGCACTTTGTATTTTTGTTACTGAAACTGCATGCATATTGAGATAGGAGTGTGTGCTGTCCTTGGGTTTTTATGGTCTGCACTCGTCTTACTTGTTTTATTACCCAGAACAGTAAATTTATAATTAGAAGAGACCACATTTGTCTGGCTGTTATATGGCTCATTTAGAATCTGCCATGGTGCATTATATGTATTTTATTTACATGTCTGGACATGTCTGGACAATCAGATTATCACCACTGCAGTGTTAACTGAATGATTGCTTTGCCACAGTAACACACTGACTTCTTCAGTCTTCAGCACTGCAGTGATACTTCTCCCATGTCACTATCACCAATCATTCACTGGCAGCTATAACGAGTATAATCCACAAGAATGAGAAGTACTTCTTTTAATTTTAATTTTGTGGGTTGTGTGTTGTTCCACTGATGCAAATTACCATGTCATACTCCTCTGGATCTGCTGCCATTCCTTTCATGCCATAACGTTGAGCATCTTTGGACAGTCTGTTAGCAAATTCCTCTGCTGTGCCCGTCTGGGAGCCGTAGAACACAATGATGTTCTTGCCCTGGTTACAAATCGACAGAAAACCATTCACATGTTGCATGAAAAAAACATCCAACCACAACTATAACAAACACCTAACCCGTCTCTTATGTTTACTATTACAACGGAACAATGTAAGAGTAAAACACATGCATTACATCTATTGTAATTTAGCTAAAATATATTCAGAATGTATTTTCTTCCAAATGCTGAAACGCTGCATTTGCCAGCCTCCGCATGTGACAGAGAGATCATACTAACACAACCAGAAACCGCATAATGTAAAATAAAGAAAGACTGATACAACTTTGGGTTTGAATGATTTCACGTTTCTCCAACATATAGTTTATCTTTACATAAATAAACAGCTGTATGTACATTTGTAAGACTCAGGTTATATTTTATCCTTGCCTACAATATTGCCATGATAATTCATAACAAAGAAAAACAAAATCAAATAGCAGTGGGGGCCAAACTTCCTATTCTGCCACCATTATGGTATCTGAACTATTTGCTGCAAAACCACATGATTCAAAACCAAAGTCTTTTCTCAAGGCTGGCTTGAAAACAGACGACCATCAAAGTCAAAACAGGGCGTCCAAATCTAAAACTGCACACATTAGCAGGGGGACCATTATACTCATCATAGTCATGGAGCAAAGGAGGAGGGAAACTTTAGCATTTTAATAAATATAGTTTCTTTTAAAATCATATGCGTCAAGCAGTCAGGGTAAAAAATATTACAAATCCAGCTTTCAATTTAAGGACTTGCAGATAAAACAGGCATTTACTGGGAAAACAACTTCAAGGCTGCTGGTGAAGGGCCACAAATTTAAGACCGTTTAACACCATATATTTGCAATGTTCGCTCACAGCAACAAAATCTAACGTATTTTTATTTAAAAAAAAAAAAAAAAAGATGAAACCACTGACACAATTGAAACAGAAGTGATGGGAAGTGTGAAGTGACAAGGAGGAAAAATAGATTGTTGTTAAAAGAACATCACTCACGGTTTTCTTCATTTTCTCAATGAAACTTGTCTCTCTTGTGGTGGGTGCTCTGAAAAAGAAAAGAAAATAAAAAATAAAAAAAAAGGATTTCACTAGTAATTAAGTCATTTTAGACAAAATAACCATTTGTTCCCTTGACATGACGCTGCGATTAAACACAAGCTACTGTCCAATAGCGGGTCTCAGATGATCAAAATTCAAAATATAGGCCTATTTTTTGGCTGACATTTCTAATATTAAAAAAACCTTTAACAGCATTGCATTTACATTTACTCATTTGGCAGACGCTTTTATCAGTAGAGTTTCAGTAATGTAGGAGACCTTGAAGTAAGTATTGTGTACTAAATATGTTCAATAAGGCAAAGTGCAAGGAGATCAGGCAAAGGAGTAAACCAGTGTTCATAGTAAATGCTAGTAAGGGTGTTAGAGATGCAGGTTAGAGAGGAGGTGCTCTTGGAAGAGGTGAGTCTCAAGAATCTCTTTAAGACTCTTTAGAAAACATTAGGGTAAAACATATGTCAACAAATATGACTTCTCCTGTGGACACCCATAAGTGGAAGCTGCTATTTGAACAGATAATGGATGATAATATAATAAAAAGGAATTGACATAATATAAAATCTCCTCATAGAAGTTAAAATTAGAAATACAGTACATGAAAAAAGACTTATATTTGATAACAGCCACATTACAGAGTGTTATAAACCATTTATTAAATGTTTATACGTCACTTGAAAAGCTAAACAAATTCATAATGTAATACTGTGTTTTGATTTGTGGTGGTGGGATGACCACATTTGACATTTAGATCACTGATTGTACTTTTGACCAAACAAAAAGCAGGGAACAATAGGTCACTTGAAGTTCAGAGTGAGGTCAGATCATCATCAATAAATATGATTTACTCCACAAGTGATTCAGCTCATTGAGAAAGTAAAAGGTGAGAGAAGTGACTCATCATCCTGTGATAACAGGTAATCCTGTGACATGTAAGGTAATTGCTCAACAGGCTCATCTACGTAATCATTTTCTGTGTGAAAGGTCTCTAAAGTAACGGGAGCAGAGCTGAGCGATGGGTCGACATCATCATTTACTGATTTTTAGGGAAATCACATTGTCACAAACAAATGATCACACTGATCAGAATTGAAAATTGTTTTGGTCAAATTTATGATTCTAAGCAAACTTTCATTTAAAAGAATGCAAAAAATTAAAGCATATCTTATTAAGATCATGTTATTGCCCCATCCTACAGCAAAGCATGACATGAGCAGATTTTTAAATGATCACCATATAAATAAATGCTTATTCTTACAGTTACAGGGAACAGCAGAGCAGTGACTCAGCAGCCACACAAGCATTAGTCATTCTAACCGTGTTTACAAGCATGTACTAATGTTACATTATTTTTTATATAATTAAAAGGGAAATGATAGATACATAATCATTACAGCTTACGCCTCATGGTAATTTAAAAGCGTCAGATTTATCCTGGAAGTAATTAATGGATGGGATCAAAACAACAACTGTCAGTATAAAGGTGCACATGAAGCAAAATCTATTCTCAAACCAAATAAAAGGCAACGCCGCTTCATTCAGCTTCAAAGCTCTGAGTGGACAGCTGCTATTCTGTCTGCACTGAAAAAGGAATAAAAAGGCTACAAATAGTCACGTGAGAATAAAATGTTTTCATATTTTCTGTATCCAGGAGCCGGTAAGATAACCATTAAATCTGAGTGAAATAGAGGCAATAATAGAGAAAGAGTATTAATTTCCCACATAATATATTGAACCGGTTTCCTTTTACCTTAACCTCACCAGCTGTCTATAAGAGGTGAGACTTGAAGGCATCGGATTACATTTTGTCTCCAACACACATTTAGTCAAACGATTTAAAGCTGAGAAGCGGGGTGCAGAGTGCAGGCATGTGGGACTGATGCCCAACACGCCATAAAAACTGAGCTCCCCACGGCTAATACGGATCACACTCTGAAGCAAAGTGTAAATTCCTGATACAAATTTAAAAGAACAAGCCTTTGCCCCCAAGCTGAAGCATTCCTCACAGCTTTAACAGGATCTGTCTGAACTGTTATCAGCTCACGTCTGCCTCAACGGCCCCAGAGTCACTCAACAACGGGATTTTTTTTGTTGCATCATTACACAACAACCAGGTTACCGGATTTCAAAATCTAGGCAGGACTAAAAATGCTGTGACAACAAACGCAAATACTTTGAGCATGTGTAAAACTAAACATACAGTACATACAACAAAGGATATCACTTTTCTCATCTCTGTAACACTAAATACAAACTAATAGTCTGTAATATTCTGAGAGGCATTTCGTGAGGACAGGCAGCGATAGGATTTTAACAAGTGAAAAAAAAAAAAAACGTATGGACAAAAACTAAAAAGGAAATGAATCATGGTTGAGAATAAATCACTAGCGTTGCAGAGCTGTTAGTTACAGCCTGAAACATAACTTGAAGTAGACAGGTTGTATTAGCAAATCATACGTTTCTAATGATGTTATCTCAAATATCAGGAAGTAACCTGTGAAGACTGCAAGTTTGACTCTAATAACATTAGACTAATTGAGGAAATGGATCCTGTGAGAGTGCAGCAGCATACACCCATTACATTAATAAAACTATAAATACATTTTAACGGTAAATGCAAATAGGGTCATAATCTTGAAGATCTTTTCCTTTCTGCACTGGCTCGAGTCCCACATAAAAACAAATTCACGTCTGCTGGTGTGTAGTCACTGTTTAAACAATTCACAGTTCAGTCCAAACAGTTCATATCTCGTCATATGTATATACTGTCAAAATAAAATTTCCATTCATTCATCCATACTGGAGCTAAACTTTTTCACACAAGCACATTGAGTCAGTTCAGTCTTTCTCTGTAACTCAGGCCCGTTCAAACGTGGAAGTGATCTGATGATGCTACAATCAATGACACATTTTTCCATTTTATGACCTGAATCCAATAAAATGGAAATCAGACCTCATGCTGTGTTTGTTTACTGATTGAAATGGAACAAGCCTTTAAAATGTGCAAGACAGTGACGGCCAGTGAGGTAAATGATTGACTGAGCTCGTGGGAAAAGGGGGGGGCAGAAGACCCAATAATTAAATTGTGTTTGTGGTGAAACAGATTTTATCACCAGCTCTTACGTAACCTACTGGGAGGATAATGGTTTTTGAAACCATTATCCTCCCAGGCTGTGATACAAACAAGCAACTACACCTTTTATGTTGAAAGCCACCAGTTTGATACTTCTGAAGGGTGTCATTCAAAAACTTGCCCTCCCAATGTGATCTGTACTATCGAACTCAGCAGCAGGATTAAACAATGGCAGATGGTGGAACTCCAAGCACGCAAAAAAATATCTTACTCCATCTTACTCAGCAGTAAATCAAGCACTTTACTGACCTCTCAGCAGCATCTCTCCTGTCCTCTGGCAGGGAGAAGACACAGCCCATGGCATGCAGCCCTGTAGCTCACCGCTGCCTCTAGCACCACTGGCTAGGCCACGCCGGAAACCACCACGCTCAAAATCAAAAGCAGGACGTCAACACTCCACAACCACAAGATGGAAAAACAAAACCAGTCCAGAAAGGCAGCAGGACACTCGCAGGTTTGGAAGAGCTGCCTGCCTTCACCTAAGAGGCTCCAACACGATCTGAACTCTGCCTCTTCCTGTGCTGCTCTCTGAAACCAGCAGCGTCTGTTCTCCACACACACGCACACACACGCACACACACGCACATACACACACACACACACACACACACACACATACACACACATACACACACATACACACACATACACACACATACACACACATACACACACATACACACACACACACACACTCAGAGCACAGCAGCCTACAAGCCCTGTCAGTGTCTGGCAACCGCTGAGGACACAATGGTGGGAAACTGACTTTCCCATAAAATGTAGCAGAGCTGCAGACCCACAGTTTTGACTCACACAAACACACACTGAAACACTCTCGGGCTGAAAATGCCTTCCTCTTCATCCCCGCCCCTTTCCCTCTCCGGTCTGAAAGGTGTTCGGAACGAAAAAGTCTACAAGATCCATTCTGAGAATTTGGCTAGTTATCAGAGCAACTCCTCGGTGGACCATTGAAGGGGGGGAAAGAGCTGTGAATGGTCGTTTTTTTCTGAAGTATCCCCCGCCCCCATCTCACTGGAGGAGAGAGGGGAATGTCATTGCTATAGCAACCTCATTTATCATAAAAGGATTGCATTTGTGACATGGCCCTACTCCAATGGCAGTGCAGCTCAGCCCCACACTCACACATCACCACCAACCACCAACCACACAACACATCAGCACCCACACACACACACACACACACACACACACACACACACACACACACACACATTAGAAAGAAAAAAAGGGGAGTGGGGAAAGAAGAATAAAAAAAAGTAACTCAGGGCAAAGAAAGGGTTGCTTGTCTTTTGCCTCAACTTTCCACCTTTGGAGAGGACTCACAAAAGGAGCTTGGCTCGCCTGCCTCGTTTGTTCTCCAGGGAACTTTTAAAATGGGTTCAGGGCCAAAAACAAAAGCACAGGAAAGACATGGAAGACTACACCCCCTTCATAACAGTTAGGTAATCACTGCTCCCTTTGAGGGGAGGGGAGACCAGCTTGGCGCTTGTGTTGCTCTATGTTCCCTTCCTGTACTCCCGCCCTCCACAGATACACACTCTTCCCAAAGCAAAACATGTCCTCCAGGGGTCTTTCCCCCTTCTAGCCAACCTCCTGTTTTCACACAAATGGTCAGGATCTCCCTAGCTCAGCCTCCAACACTGTCTCCATTCACACAACCAACGTAGGACCTCAGCCACACAGCGAGCGTGGCTGCTGCTGCTGGCCCGTGGCTTTACTCTGGTGACCAAAGAAATTGTGTTGTGGTCAGGGAGGGACTAAAAATGTGGCCAGTGGAAGGAGAGCCCACTGAAATCAAGCCAAGCCTCCATCGCTCCACTGATAAGTGATGAGGGGAGGGAACAGAGGAGGGAAAGCTCATAGGCACTAACACCAGAGAGAGAAAGAGGCAGTCCGAGAGAGACAGCGAGAGAGAGAGAGAGACAGAGACATCAGATAAGTTTGTGGGAGAGGGGAAAGACTGTGCAAAAGAAGAGGGGGGCAGACAGCAAAGGTCGCTACTAGTGGAACATTTACAAGAGCCTTAAGCCATGCACTCTCACACACTTGCTTCAAGGCCAATTTAGTGACAGCTTGTGCACAGAATGTAATGACAGAGTCTAACTCAGGGAAAACATTTGTTTCTTTCAAACTGCTTATGTGTGATACGACACAGGCAGATCAAAAGAGAAACACACTTATCCTCATCATTCTTCTCTAATGGAAACAGGTACAGCTACAACGATTAGTCAGTGACTCAATTAGTTGACAGACTGAAAATTAATCTGCAAATAATCGCCTTGGTCATTTTTTTAAACAGCAATGAAGAACACCTGATGGGTCCAGCTTGTGAGGATTTTCTGCCTCTCCGTTTTATGATTGTAAACTGAGTAGCTGCTCGAAACAAGACATTTGAAGACTGAAGATCATCTTAGATTGTGGGAATCATAACAGGCCTGTTTCACTGTTTTCTATCATTTTAGAGACAAAATGATTGATCAACTAATCAAGAATCTTACTGGCAGATTAATCAATAATAAAAAATGGTTACTTGTAGCCCTAAAAATATCAAATAAAAAAAAAAACCTTGTAAGCCAGACACTGACTTAACAGTGTTCAAATAAAAATATCCCATCCAGCTGCAACATGTCTTCTCAACCTCCGGATCAGCATGTTTTTACAGCTTTTTACACAATTTCAAGTATGTCTAAGATCAAGTGGTTACTTAATCTCATAGGAGAAACAGAATCTGGCTATGGATTTAATTTTTAAGTAAATGACAAAACATCGTGTGAATTTTAAACACCAATGACCAACAATAAAGACCTGAAACCAATACCACCCCCTGGTGTATACACACACAGATCACTGGTGCAACAAAGTTTGGTCCAACAAAAGAGTTCAAGCCACTTTCACCAGGTTAAGGTTGATAAGGAGCTGAGATCAGCAGAGCTCATGTGAATTAAACTGCACACATAGAACAACTAATTCACTGGGACAAAAGCTAAACTGAGAGACATGACTTGAATTTTAGGTATCAAAGTAAATATGGTGCCGCTTTCTGAGCTTTGTTCAGCAAATACTATTTTGTTGTTACTGGATAAACATCAGGTGTGAAGATCCAACTTTGTAAAGAACTGTGATCCCTGAAAGCTGTGCTGTTTAAGTATACGTCGACACGTGTGTATTGTGTTTAGCTAGCACTTATGAGTGATGATAATGTTATAAGCTTCTTAGAAAACGGTAATGATATAACGAAATGCAATTCCTGCATGGAAAAAGATTAATGAGGATGTGTTTTAAACATAACATTGCCTTGTTCTAACAGCATGGTACCAAGGTATGAAAATGCAACATTTTTAAAGACGGTCAAATCGGCTACAAATAAAAATGTGTTTTTTGCTTTCAGCAGATGCAGTTTAAATAATAAGCCAAGAATCAGAATCAGGATTTTATAAGAGTCAACAGGACTCAGAATAATAATCTATAAAATATACACAATACACCACATTCTCAAAAAATAAACAATAAATGTGTCTTATTCATTCATTTACCTTTACCTCACAGCAGCCCTAATTTTTTTCTCCTAATGATGCACTTAAATCTGAATTGTAACTTTTTTGGGGAATTTTTTTATTAAAAAAACAAAACAACAACAACAAAACTAAAACCCAGGTGTACCCTGACAGATACTCACGGTGTGTCGAGCTTCTTGAATTCAGGGATGGGATCAGGCTTCTTGCGGGACATGAACCAATAAATGAGAAGGCCGACTATCAGAGAAAAGAGGAAGAGGTCCAGGTTGCTGAAAAGAGGCTCCTCTTCATCCGCCATGGGCTCTGTGTGTGTGGTAGTCTCAGCATCCATGTCTGCCATGTTGACACTCTGCATGGGGACAGAAAGATCACAGCTATTAGACCAGAGAAATAATAGGAACTTATATAGTGCTGAAACAACTGATTATTTGACAGACAGTTAATCGACTTTGATAACCAATCCATAATTTTTTCCACTTATCATTAAGTAAAAATAGCACTTGACACTTCCAGCTCATAGGATTGTATAAAAGAAAAATCCCTTTAGGTTTTGATTTGATGGTTAAATTAAATTAGATGTTATTGTCTTTGCACAGAAAAGCACCAGTGCAACAAAATCATTTTTTCATGCAAACAGCAGCAAAAGTGCATATAGAGATACATTAAAATAAAATAATGTTCATAATAAATAAGAGAGTAATAGAGTAGTGAAAGTGAAGGGATGTAACTGTGAAATACAAAATGAAAAGCAGCTTTGGTCATTTAGCATGTACAAATGGTTACTGGTTATGTTATGTAGAGTATAAACAGTAAGTTATTCAATAAAGACAATTTGTTGCCCTACAGGGGTGTCCTTCCTGATACTGACTACAGTGTGTTTAATATAACCCGAAGGGAAAGCTGTAATTTAAAACCTGTCATTTAAAATGTGTTTTGTGTCTACAGTAATGGTTAAAAAGATTTCCAGCGGAACAAAACAGGGAACTGAAAACTGGTTAAGCCACTGCACCGAACAATATGATTGCTAACATATGTGAACCATATTCTGCATGTTAACCATACAATGACAGCTTTTGTGCAAAAGTTATTGGACAATTGGCTCTATCACTTGGCTCAACATATTACAAAACTGCAACCCTCTGCTTTCTATACATGAGGAATTTCTTATCATGCATCAGCGAAAGCAACTCTTCTCAAACTATGCACGAGAGGACTTCATGTCCTCAGCTCTCCATTTACAATTTGGTTCAAGGACTCAAAACAATGAGATCAGGTTTTCTCTGATCCTGTGAGCTGGCTGGCTAACAACTACAGTACAGTCTGACTGATATCACTTACTATACTGCTGAGTCACTGATATTCAGCAAACCACTTCACCTGCCATGTAGAGAGGTACCTGTGTGTCAACCTCAGTAGGTACAGAAGTTATGGTCTGCAAAACTATAAGACTACAAACCTAGCACAGTCAAAAACATTCCTAAATCAAATATTTCAATAACACTTTCTCAAATCAGTGAACTGTAATGGAATATCAGTGCATTTTATGTGTGACATTTTGTACTGGAACATTGTATATTATCAGGTAATGTGCTTTAGAGTGGAGGAGCAGTTAAACAATTCAAGGTTTTGAGCTGTTTTTAACATTAGCTACACAGGTAATAAGTTGGTAATAAGTTCTAGTCATACAACCAGCTAGTGTGTCAATTATGTTTTATAATAGCATTCAGTGGTTTCCTTAATAAAAGCTTTTGCGTGACCAGTGATGGATTTAAAATCAATACCAATATTTAGGAGTTTACACTGTTAACATTACATTAAACAGTTGTGTCGAGACTGTGGTCAACTGCGGTGTTGATTACATTTTATGGTCATTTTGGACAGCTGTAGTTAGTGGTGCTGTTTAATTGTTTTGCATTATAAGAATTATTTCTATTATTTTGTCCACTTCATTTATAACAGAAACATCCCTCTGTACGAAGCA